TCAGCAGTTCTATAAAAATATACAGTAACAGCGTAACTGTTAATATTTTCTAAAATCGATTTCACAGCTTTAAAGAGGGATAAATAGCGATTCCGAAACACCTATTAAAAGCCTTTTTTCTTTAATATTTACAAAAGTTTGACCACTTGAAAGTTGACAAACTGAAAAAATGGGTAGACTCGCCCCGGTTTACGGTACTTACTTTTAATGGTTCGAGGGCTTAACCTTGAATATGCTAATCAATTTGTGTAAATCATGTTTTAAGTTACAAAATCAGACACAAAAACGTACTTTATCTCTATAAACATGCCTTTCTTTTGAGATATTTCCATAATAGATCTTCTAAATAGGTAGCCACAGTTTGAAAAATATGGCTCCAATAGTTTGGTATAGGTAGAGTTTGAAAGGGTAGATCCCTTATTGTTAATTTCCTTTTTTGTGTATTTTACCATATCTCGAGAAATTTATAAGTGAATTGAGAAATTTTTGCTCAGAATTATAAAATTAGTTTATCCAAAGATAATTTCGCGTAAATGATTTTAAATAACTATTTTTTAAAAATATTTTTTACACTATTCGAAAAAAATTTTTTCGAAAAAATTATGATGCACACAAATTTTTATTTTAACTTAAAGTATGACAAAATACAAAATTTGTACTACATTGGTCTAATTGTTCTCTAGAAATTAAATTTAAAATATACAACTTTCAAAAAAAAATATAATAATAATAATCGGATAAATCAGAAACTATTCGGATTTCTTTCAAATTTTGCATTTTGTTTTCCAGAAATCAAATTTAAAATACACGACATTTTTAATATTGAATAACTCAGAAATTAATCGAATGGAATATTTTATCTTATCTACCATGTACCCTCAAACTTCGATCTGTTTCAATGCCGTGAATGCGATTAAACTTATTTAGTAACACCTGAAAAAAAGATAGAATTTTTAAGTTGTCTGGGAAGAGAAATGTAGCAGGAAAAAACAACACTTGTTTAGTTCAATAAAACATACCAGGTGTTCAGTAATCATTGCCCTTGATCTGTAGTTTTAGACTTATTGTTAAAAATGAAGACAGAAAATTGGGAGTCGATTTCCACCGAGGAAAAAATAAAAACACTATCGAAAGGTGACAAATAATTGATGAGGAAAAACAGGATAAAAAAATGACGCTGTTTTTAACAATTGCTTCTCACCTTTCTGCTTCCTAGCGCAAAAAAAACAAAACAGATTTGGTGTTCTTAATCAGCTTTACTTGAATATTGTTTCGTCAGAACCATGGAAGCTCAGGAGATAGAGCGTTCGCCTCCCAGAGCGGTGAACCGGGTTCGAATCCCAGCGATGGCTGGTCGATACGAATTTCGTACTCGGTTCGCACCGACAACAGTGGTGACGTAAAATATCCTCAATGGTAGAAGGATCATGGGTAAGAGTTCCCTTGCCGGCAGACTAACCGTGGGAGATTTCGTGGTTTTCCTTTCCATGTAAAGCAAATGGGGGTTAGTTCCATCAAAAAGTCCTCCACAAATGCAAAATTTCTCCCAATACTTCATCTTAGATTTCCCTTGTTTTCTGGATTGAGTTCAAAATTACAAAGACATGGCGTTGGCCATTGGTAGCCGTAAACTCAAAATTGGGTCTGCTGTTCAATGACAGTTATAAAATAAAATATTGTTTCAACAGATTTTGATGGAAGTTTTTTTCTTTCTTAAATACTTATTTGTGCTCCCAAAAGTATACATTTCTGTCAAGGACTCTACATTAAGGGCTGACATAATGGAACACCGTAAAAACCAAAATTAAGGTATATGTTGCGTGCCAATTTTATTCAAACATGGCATGAACTTTCCGGATAGCCCAATAAGTACTGATTACTTAAACATCAAAATAAGTTTAAGTTATAGCAACACTAGTTACGTTTATAAACTTCTATATCTTATATCTGAATATAGTTTTGAAAAAATCGATTAAATACTATGATGAAAATGTATATATTCAGTACATTTCAAAATAAGCATCAAAATATATGAGGATATAAATAAGAATTAAAAAAAAAACAACTACTACTAAATTAAAACAGCTCATTAATGTAAATTTTTGTTCTGAAATTGTAAATAAGAAAGTACCACATGTAATGTAAAATGTTTGTTGTTTTAGCGATAAACAGATCTTAACAAAATGCGGTGAGGATGCCTGTCAATTTTTGGCTTTCCTTAAGTATTCAACTCACTTCTTAATAGTGAATGTCATTGTTTGCATTGGTTTTATCCTGCCTACTAATTTGCAAGGGAGCGAAGGTAAATTTTAATTACAAAAAATTATTTTGTTCATAATAAGAATTCAAACAATTTATGGGTCTTTTCTTTGGAAAAGACAGTAAAAAGATAAGAATCATGTAAGAATCCCCCTCCCAAGTACTTTAGTCGAGTATTATGTAACTTTATTCAAGAATATACAATAAAATAACGTAGGAACAACTTAGAGAAAGTTCTAATATTTGTGTCAAAAATTTTAGCGGATAACGCAGAATGTTAAACTGTTCAAAAATAAATTAAAGAAAAACGGATAAAGATGAAAATTTATGGTTTTCTTTGTTTTGCGTCGAAGACCAGATTTTGTCGAAGGTTTTAAAATTATTTACAAAGTTCTTCACCAGATGGAGCTGTTAAAGGATAAAAATATAGAGCAGTATTTCCAAGAGAGCCACCATTTGCAGCTGAAACGTTATGCAGTTAGAGAGAACAAATTTAACCTGTGGAAATATTCCAATTAAAAATGGTTGGACATGACGCAGAAAAAATTAAATTGTTTTACACCTATTAGTGAGCACCGTAATATGTTAACAAAATTAGTAACTAATTTTAAAATTTGAAGAGAAAAACTTCTGGTTTCATAGTCAAAACACAGAAAATCGTACTTTTTAAAAAAAAAAATCCTGTAACGGTAATTAAATAACTTATTTGCATAAAGTAAATTATATTTCGGAATTTTGTCCTCTTTTAGATTGTTAGATAGTTTTTGCATAAATCAATACTTATTATTAGACTGGAAAGAAAGGTCTAAAACCTTAAACAACCTCCTCGATGGTAATGAAACATTTTAAAATACTAATTTAATTTGATCAATTAATCAAATAACCTTTTTCACTATTTAAGTCCTTGGTTTTTAATGTGATGTTGTAATGTAAGGTTGTCATATTGTTTGCAAACTAATTTAAAATTTTTATATCATAGACTGCAAATTTTATATTTCTCTCATTATAATGATAACTGATATCAAAGACATGTCAAATCTATTGCAAAATTGAAGTTAAATGACGGAATGTATACCGCACAGCTTTGTAATTGTCCTCGTGGCTTCTTCTAAAGTTCTAATTTATGATTTGAGAGTTTTCCAACTAAAAAACTTTTAAATAATGCCCAAGCATCCGTTACCGTCACATGAAACAACGAAACACCACAAAACGGAAAAGTTACTAAAATAATTTGACGTAAATTAAAAGATGAGCACAGTTCGCTACGTCACAGTATTGCAGGCGGTCCCTCTTTTGAGCAATTTCTGCAATTATGACACATTTGCTGTCAATAAAATTAGCTTAGACCTTCCTGCATCTTTTCAGTGTTTGGAGTTTTCATATGACAGTAACGGATACTTCTTAGTGATTCAAAGCTTGCTCTCCTCCTATGCATTGTGTGGTGAAAATTACTTGTTTCAAGGATTTCTATCACCTATTTTTTTACATGAGTTTCCATTTGTATATTTTTGTACATGAGTTTCTAAACACTCTGCACGAATTCCAGTTGCAATTAAAAATTTAAATTAAAGCTTATGCAAATCATAATAAGTTAAATTCAACTTCTTTAGTAGTAAAAAGTGCTTTGTTTGAATTAAAAAATTTTCCAACCTCGGCGAAGTTACTAATATAATTACCAAAAAACTGGCACTATGTATAAGAACAACTCGCTTTTAACTTGTCATTTCTGTTCCATTTTCCTCTGAAAATTTCACCACTCTAATTTAAAATCGAACATTCTCATCGCGTCCACTTAGGTACGCGTGTAAATATTGGGCCAATTAGATTCGAAAATGCACTTCATTTTAGCTCAGTTCTTTGTTACCAACACAAGGAAAGAGTAATCTCGTAAGTATAAGCATGAAGTATTTAATTTTAAGTTTCGATTTTTAAAGCTTAACATTTTGTATTTTTCAGAGCCTCCAATCAGAAAATTTGAGAGGACTACAATTACTAATTTAAGTGTGAAGTAAGTGAGATGTTTCGAACCTTTTTTTTTTCTTTTTAGAAAAATAGAAAGAGAAAATTGAAAGCGCAATATTTTTGTCCTAATTTTTTTAACAGCCATTTTTAGTCTATATTTTGTCGAAATTGTCTACATGTGTTTCTGAATGAGTCATAATAGGGAGGCACCCCTAGCCGCGTACGACATTTCCAGGCATGGGTTCCTATGCAATTTTAATTCGGATGATGTGCCTAACTCCCCTAAAAGTGTATCCCTGTTACATATATTGTTTTTAAACTTCTACATTTCTACGAAAAGTAAACTAAAAATATTATTATTTTTTTTTTTAAATCTGTAGTTTTAAGAGCAAAATTAATTTTCGATTTGAAATCCAAACACCCAAATTTGGCAAAATCCAGCATTTGTTTAAGTGCAACAAAAAATTTTTTCCCTACTGTTATATATAAAAGCTTAACTTTTTCCCCCCATTAAAACGTGATTCTCATACTAAAAAACACAAAATGGAGTTATAACCATTTTTTTTGTTGTTGCTAAAAATAGTGATGGTGTTTGATGAAAATTAAGAGAGGATGATTGAACATCTAAATTATTGTGTGCTTTCTTTTCCTTCCCGTTGTTGTTAGAGGATATTAAGTAGTTAGAACTGAATTTCAATGCTCTTATCTATCATTGCCGCCTTTACTTTTACAATATTTTTTACTTCATTGAGCAAGCCAGAATTGTAAAGTAAAGGAATACCTTTTACTTCATTGGCACCATCACTTTTACAATACTTTTTACTTCATTGAGTAAGCAAGAATTTTAAGAATAATGGAATATTTCATTGCCCTCATTACTTTTCCAATACTTTTTTACTTCATTGAGTAAGAAAGAATTGTAAAGGTAAATGAATACTTTTTACTTCATTGGGTAATTAAGAGTTGTAAAAGTAAAGAAATACTTTTTACTTCATTGACGCCATTATTTTTACAATTCCTTTTTACTTCATTGAGTAAGCAAGAATCGTAAGAATAAAGGAATGCTTTTTACTTTATTGACGCCATTTTATATGCTAAATTATATCATTTCAAACCAATTTTGTGTTTCTTACTGTGATAATCATGCTTCTTTCGCGTTTATTCCTTTCTTTCGATTACTATGGCGGAAAGGGTATCATATGTTGGCAAAGTTTATTTTCTAATAACCCTCTATTTTAAATTTTACTTTTGTATTTTAAACTTTTTGCGCAAATTAAAAGTTTCACTTTTTTCATGTCTGAATTAAAATTTATTAAGTTCATCATCTAATTAAAAGAAACAGAACTATGATGGAATTGTACATTAAATTTTTATTATTCATTTTTTTTTATTCATTTTACTTATTTATTTATTTTTCAAAAAAAAAAAGCTCGAAACTGCTTTGGATCCATGTTGCTGCCTTATGTTTCCTTTTGTTTGCTAGTTGGACTGCTGTGCGAGCTATTTTTCTAAATCTTAGATTGTTCAGAAAAGGTAGTTTGGTGAGTCACTTATCCTTGTCTATCTTTCTTAGGTGAAATTCAAAATTTTTTTTATAAAAATTTCAGATTTTTAAGTTACTAAGTACTAAAATAAAAATAACTTTTTCTCTATATCTTGTCAATGATTTTTTGTTTTAAAAAAGTATAGTGCATTCGCACGAAGATTAATAATATGTTTAAAAGCTTTATTTTTTAAAATTTCATCTGGCATGTTAAACAATCTGGCATCCTTTAATTATGAATATAAAAACAGAATTAAATAGCTTGATGTGAAGACAGATTTATAGCTTAAATTCTTAGTCGGATTAAAAAATAAATTAATTTTTTCAATATTTCGAATGGCGTTAATTTAACAAAACACTTATAAACTCGGAATTTCTCTCGATTACTTAAAGTTCTCGCTTGTCTGTTGGAATTGTCCTTATATTACTGACACAAAATGCCAAATCCACCAACATAAAGTGGCAAGGATAAAAGGGTGTTCCTTAATAGCCATCCTTAATTCAATTTTTATGAAATCATTGAAAATTTACAGTTCCTAAAATTTACCTGAAGGTTTGCGTGTGATTACATTTACGTGATTACAAAATGTTATCAAACTCTGGAAAGGACATTTAATGATGTTCCACCAGAGTTTAGATACATTAATATGTAATATAAACAAAAAACTGCAATTTTAAATTAATTAAAACCCGTTTCTTTACCCAGTGAGACGAGTACGCTTTCGCATTTCGTTCGGGATCACCGTCATTCTAAATTAAACTAATTTTTTTTAATGTCTTCTTAATGCCTTTAATTTTTCTTTCTGCTCTGGTTGATTTTCTATACACATTAACATTAGTCGCTGATCACTGGTCTAGTGGTTACTGTACTGGACTACGAGGCCAGTGGTTGTGGGTTCGAATCCCACCGTTGCATGCTTGTAACTCTCTCTTTGTGTTCTATGCCCTTTCTTCTGTGTGATTGTGTCAATGTAACTCCCCCTATAAACGGATTTGTGGTTCTATGACGTGGACAACTCTAATCCACTGCATTGGCTTAGCCACAGGTGCTCACTGGGTTACGATTAAAGAGTAGCAATTCTGACATTTCTGAGTCCAATGAGAAATAAACCCAAGTGCCACCATTAAAAAAATGATAAATAACATTAGTGCCTTTAATGAGTCATTTCTTTTGCTAGATTTTAAAAGTGTATTTTTTACATTAATTTGTAGCTTATCTTATGAATATTTTTTGAATTTATATTTTAGAAGAGTCTGAAAATATACTTTAAGAACGGTAACTACATATTAATTAGGAAAGCAAAACAAATTGTAGCAGAATGAGATTGAAACGATAGGTTTTAAATAACTAATAATGATTTTGTTGGCACTAAACAAAAAGTTCTTATTTGTAGAGTGGAACAACCTTACTTTTGATCCTCTATGTTCATGCCGATCTCTTAAAGTCTAGTAAGCGTATTGCTTTTTAGCATTTTGTTTGTTTTGTTGAGACTGTTCGTCAACAGAAACAAGATGGAGCTGTACCAGTTTTAAAACGAATAAAAATCACAGGCTTAAATGTGAAAGTGAGACGAACTTCATTTTTCCAATAACCATATTTGGCTCACTATTCCAATAAGACCTTTATAGTTGCCAAAACTTTTCAATGATCTATTGTAACTCATTTTTATCAGTTTAGTAGTGCTCTTGGTCCATCAATGACTGTATCAACTAATTAGAAGAAAGAAGTTATGATGTGTTTTTTTGCACTAAAAAAAACTTTGTGTAAATAATTAAATAAAACACATTTTAGAGTAATGTTTGACTTTTCTGTTTCCTGACAGGCTAAACGCACAATCATTATAAAAGGGATAGAAAGAAAATATTTAACATCAGAGGCGATTGAAACATATTTTAAGTAAGTAACGTATTTTAAATACTTATCCTCTCAAACTCGCAATTAATGAATTAATAGGAATCGAAAATTTTACTCGTTAAAGTGGGTTTATTCGTTATATCGCTTATCAAAACAAAAATTAAATTTTTTTTGCACTTATCGTATGGAGCTGCCCTAATATGCAAAGACAAAACCATATGCACAACTGGAAATTATACACTTTTATCCAGTAACTAAGAATAACGAATTTTTTTTTATACGTTGGCGTTAAAACGAAAGGAATAGCTTGATGAATAAACGCATTTAATAATTACAATTCGTATTTATTTCAAATTTATACACACATAGCGTTTTATTTATAACAATCGTTGAACAGTCGACCCAATTTTGGGTTTAACCCATGTTCAACTTCGTAGTCTTGAAATTTTGAACCTAATCTAGAAGGCAAGGGAACTCCTTGATCAAGTATTGGGAGAAATTTGCCTTTGAGGAGGACCTTTTGATGGAACTAACCCGCATTTGCGTTACATGGAGAGGGATACCACGAAAACCTCCCACTGTTAGTTTGACGGCAAGGGGACTTTCACGAATGATCCGTCAACCACTTAGGATATTTTATGTCAGCAATGTGGTCGGGGCGAGCTGGGTACGGAATTCCTATCGACCAGCCATTGATGGTATTCGGAATAATACGCTTTAGTTAAATTTGGCACCAAATATTTACGATGCGTATAGCACAGAAACAAAATAAACAACTGCTTTGAATTCGCTTCAGCTCACCTTAAAACCCACTTTTTGAAATATCCCAAAACACACTTTTGAAAATCCCACTCAAAACCTAATCTCAAAACCCACTTTTTTGAAAATTTTCAGAAATCAAGAATTATTTTTAAATTTTATTTTTAAAAACTTGTTCAATATTGTCTTTTAAAGTTTAGAGCATTCAAAAACTTACTTTTTTTTCCCGCATTTTCGTTATTTGTTTCGTCTAAAATGTCTAGTTAGAGTGACATGTTTCCAAGTAGAGTAAAAAAAAACGATAATTTTATTTTTGTCGTTGATGAACTAAAAAACGTAGGACACATTACTTTTGTCATTAACTTTTATCACCACTGAAAATTCTCCTCCAACTTTCGAAAGTGATGCGCCTTACATTTTTCGTTTTGATGTGCGATAAACTGAATTATTTTCTCTTTCTCATTTCGCTTTAATACAGTTTTTTAAATTTTTATTGTATTTTATTAACGTTTTATATGCAGTTAATTTTTTACTATCTGTAATTTTCAAAATATAATTTCCATTTCTATTTTAAACAAATATTTAGTATGTAAGAGATATAACATCTTTTTGTATCACTAATGCTAAATTTTATTTACGGATGGTCGAGTACCTTCTGTAGAAAAAAGGGACCCGATTAAAAGCAAATAAAGAAGATTGATGCTTATTTTAACTATAAACATTTATTATTTAATCATTCGTTTAATAATTTATTATTATTACAGTTACTTTCTGTTTCGTCTTATTTTTTTCAGAGAACATTATCCAAAATATGGAATTGAGGATATCAAACTAGTTTATAACTACCGAGAACTTTTGAAACTGGACAAAAACCTGTAAGCGGGAAAAATTTCCTTCATTATAAATGCATTACTTACTGAATATTTTCTATTACACTGTATAAAATTTGTTAATTTAGAACCATTTTAAACTAGAAAGTTTAAAGCCATACATATGTTTGTTCTAACATATTTGTTCTCGTTCTTTTAAAACTCTATGTGTGTAGGATGTATTTTATTTCAAATCATCACATTTAAATTATTTTATTTTATAACCGTCGTTGAACAGCCCACCGAATTTTTGGATTTACAGCTACTATTGCTCAACTATGTAGCCTTGTAATTTTGAACCCACTCCAGAAGACAAGGGAACTCCTGGATAAAGTATTGAGAGAAATTTGGCTTCCTGGAGGACTTTTTGATGGAACCAACCGGCATTTTCGCTAAAAGACCACGTGATCCTCCCACGGTTGGCCTGACTGCAATGGAACTCTAACCCATGATCCGTCTACCACTGAGGATATTTCACAATAGCACTCTAGTCGGTGCAAGCCGGATGAGGACCCATCCGGCATTGACCAGTCATTGCTGAGATTCGAACGCGGTTCACCTCATTGGAAGGCGAACCCTGAGCCATCGCGGCTCACAATTAAAATATATGTTATTTCAATTATTTTGTTCAGATCAAAATGTGTCAGAAAACAATGTTTTAACTTGAATGGAATCATGGTTTAATTTAATGCCTTTTTAAGGTTGAAATAAATTTACACCGTATTATCGCTCACTGCACTGATAATATAGTTCTACGTTAAAACAGTTTTATGAGAATATCGAGTAGTCTTAATGTTTATGAAGCATTTATTTCTAAAATAAAAAAAAACTTACATAATTCAATTGAAGAAATTTTTAACATTTTACTTCATTAAAATATTAGTCAAATTTTGTATTGTATTTTAATTCTAAAACACAGCCTCTTTCGAAAAATAAATGTTATTTGGGCTATTGCCTATCCTAGGCAGTTAATAAACTATCATTGAATTTTGACTAAATTTCAAAATAGCTAATTATCATATTTCAATTGTTTATTTTTGAATACTTGGAAACAATTTCAGGAAAATATCTCAGAATTTGTTGAAAATTTGTCAAGAGATTCTACAGTCAGAATCGCGAGAAGTGATGGTATACAACTACTGCCTGTTTTGTCATAGCTTATTCTGCTTTCAAGCATGCCAACACAGAATGGTATTCTTCTCAATATGTTTATATAAACATTGGGTCAGATCCGCGACACTGAGCTCATGGAGCATGCTCCAAGCTGTTCTAACGATAAGATAACTGTTCGAAAGCAGACTGAATAGTTTAATCGGTTTTCATCTTAAAAGAAGAGTCTTCTTTTCTTTCCTTTTGTAATAAATAAACGATTTTACGTATGACCTAAATTTTTTGAAAACTACATTTTCATTTCAATACGAAATATTTTCAACCGCAGCACCAGCAATTATTTTTGTCACTTTTTCATCAAAATAAAAATTCATATAAAATATACGTTTAGAAATTGAGAATTTGATTGGCGCATTTTAAGTAGAACTATTTAACCACATTCAGTAGGAATGTTCCTTAAATTGGTAAAAATCATGAATTGTATTTTATTACTTTATAAGATTTTAACTTTTTTGTTGTAGTTTAATTTGTTTGATAGAAATGTGCAAGATATTGATAAAAGAATTATTATTAAATAAGGAATAATGATGTCACGAGAATTATGAATTGAATGAATCGAACAATCTACCATTAAACGATTAACACCCGTAACCGAACGATAAACTTGGGGAAATTTGGAGCGGGCACCAAAAGCTGCATGTTATGTGACTGACCCAGTTTTAAGTTATTTTATTTAAGGCGTTATTAAGAAAACACTGTATCAAAATATCATCTGTTAAAGCAATCTAATCTCAATCGTAAGTCTAATGTCAATCGTAGTCTAATCTCAATCGCAGTCTAATCGCAATCTAATCTCAATCTCCTACCTTATGATAATATAAGTTTAAATTGTTTGCTGACCACAATCAACAGATTTTATCAACCTATTATCTTCAAAAGAGAATTTATCATCAGTCAAATTGTTGACCATTTTCTGACCAGATGGAGTGCTTTCATTTTAACTTGAGCTTATGAGCTAATGTCTATGGACAGTATACATTTTAATGATTTTCTTGCCACTACAAACAGCATATAGTGTCAATATCTTTCTCCAAATTAATTCTAAATATCGCCAATTTTTCTTCCTTTTAGAACTCATTTAGCATTTCGATCATTATCCGAGTAACTTAAGTGCTCAAAATTCAACTTTGGATTCGATTGGTCTTCATTTATAATCCTTAATTAAAATTTTTTTGTTAGGACTCTTAAAATATATTTAAGACTGATCATTATGAAACACATTGTCGACTTACTTCTTAAAGACTTGTTGCTATTTTGGTAAAAATTTGATTTTCAAGGTTAAATTTCTTTTTCAATATAATCTACATTTTTAAGATCAAATATTTCCATATCCAAAGCGAAATCGGTTACAAATATAGGGCAAGAGCACCCTTAATAAGTATTTTTAGAATTCTTATCAAAAATGGAAACAAAAATAAATATCATTGTGTGTTGCAAATTTATATTTAACTGAGAAATTTTTTTTTAGAAATTAACAATCCACAATGCAGGCAAGCGAGTGAACTTAACAACAAAACGTATTTAATTGCGGGAAGAAACAGAGTTAATAGACGATTATTAAAAACAACTTCATTTTTCAGCATCAAATTAAACCTGCTTTGCTGTTTATTACAAGGTTCATTTTTTAAAATTCTTTTTTTAAAAAAATGCCTTTGAAATGTCTCAATAAGACAATCCTAAGTTTTCGCTCTCCGGGGAAGTGAGTGTTGACTTTTAGGTTTGATCTAAAATTGAGTGTTTTTCAAAATATCTCACAAACAGCTCTCTGTATTTAAAGCTGCAAGGGTTGTATATCGGTAAATTTTGCATAAAATGAGAATCCATATAATAAGCTTTGTTTCAAATATGATTTTTTGACCTATAACGAAAAGTGATCTAAATTGTCAACTTTTCAAGCAAATTTAATATTTAACGAAAATTAATTCTGAAATTAAGTAAAAAGCAACTTAGTAACACTATTGTTTACATAACAACTATTTTCTAAATGTTTTGACGACTAGTTTTTTTTCCTGATATTAATTTATACTTTCAGCTTAAAAATACTCAGAGACCTTAGAGTCCGAGGTAAACATAGATCGAAAACTTGATCTAAAAACATGTTTTTGCCGATCAAGATAAATTTCTGCAATTAAAACGATATCATAACAGATTAGACATAAAAGTTGAAAATTAGAATGGGAAAGACTGCAGCATTAGATACTGTAAAAGTTGTCCTATGGCCTGGATAGTCTGGTTGGTAAGGCGTTGGGCTCATGTCCAAGATCCCCACTGGCCGAAAACTTCCCGTGTAGTAAATGGTAACTAGTGAGCGTTAAATCTGTTGGAGTCACAAAGTCCTCCATGTTCTCATAACCAATTAATATCTCTGGAAGGGGGGTAATGAATTGGAGATTGATAGTTCTCTGGTTCAGGTCAAAATTGCGATCTGTGGACGAAATAGGTAATAAATAGGCCCTCCCAATAACCGGCTGTGAAATTAAGTCGCATTTTAGTCATAGATGGCGCCACTGAAGAACAAAAAACGCACCCTCTACCTTAAATTCGCTTGATTTCACCAAGCAGGCTTGCTATTGGCAAGTGACATTAGAAACAACAGCAACAAAAGTTGTCCTAAATTACATTGCTGCCAACCCGGAGGTTTTAGCTCTATCCAATGTTAAAACTAGTAGTGAAATGACATGATTGTAACTAAATATGTTTAAAATTTCATCATCATTTTAAGTATCACTAGATACTTATAAGTTCTTTTACATAGATCATTGAGTTGTTTAAATGTCTTGGTAGATAATGTCAGTTTAATTCAAATGTTAAATCATAAAATTTTCTTCCATTTTAAATATTTGACAAAAAATTCTGATTAAAGCCGAAAAAGTTGGCAGGTCTGTAATTGCTTTATTTAAAATAAAGTTAGTTTTCTCATAAGAGAAAAATAATGCTTAAAAGAGGTGGAAAGTATAATAATTTTTTCTCCAAATTCATTCGCATTCTTCCACATATGAAAAATACATACCAAGGATGGTCTTTATGGAACACCATGTATTCATAAGGGCAATAATATTTAATTATTACGTTGCAATTGTGTTATAAGTATAAATGAATTACTATATTAATAGTTAATGTATTAGCCACACTGTAATTTGTTACTGTTTAACAGAGAAAAAAAGAAACACTAGCGAAATCTGGCAAATCACAGTACAGGAATGAGGAAGCACTAGACAACAAAACAGGTTTGACTGCTGGTGGAAACTTGATAATAAATTAATGAATGAAATGTCTATTACAAAATTGTAATACTTTATTAATAATAATTTTCAATGCATTTCATTAATTACTTATTATTTTTCTTTCATAAAGCAATTTAAAGGCTGTGTTTATTACCAATCAAAAGTACGTGCTAACGATGAAGCTCTTGCACGGGAATTGAACCGCTTACCAAGAAAACTGATTAATTTCGCTTTTGTCACTTTTGAACAAGAATTCTTCGCAAGACAGTAAGATTTTCCTTCTTAAAGAAATTAATAGTATTAAAAAGATTACTTAACACTAGAAAGACTGAAACTTAGTATATATCAGGGCTCGAAAAAGCTCAGAAATTTTACCCGTCCCCGAGGACGGCTTGTCCAACAATGTACCCGTCCTCCTTTAAAACTAACCTGTAGCTTCTAAATAAATAAAAATGTAATTTTCTTTCATTTATTACAAACATTTATATAACTTGCACAATGAATTAGTAGTTACTAGGATTACAAATACTAGATTTACATTATACTATATTAAAATAAATACTAGGTTACTAATAGTAAAGCCTATTATTTCTGTTATGAAATAATTTAAATGACAAAGGTCAAGTTACCTGGAATGTCAATTTATCCGAGGGTACTGCGCTTTTTAAATGAATCAAATATGACGTTTGTCAGTTCCACAATCAAGCCAATGATTTACAGAGGTTTCTGCACAGAAACCTCTAGGTAGATACTCGTAATTGCGTTTAGGTAGATGCTCCATTTAGGTAGATGCTCATAATTGCGTTTAGGTAGATGCTCCATTTAGGTAGATGCTCATAATTGCATTTACCGCTTGTTTAAGACCAGTACGTAATGTAATTTTTTGTAAGTTCATACAGTACTCCCAGACAGAGAAAACATCAATTCCACCATACGCAGTGTGTTGCTGTATTGCTAGATTAGTGGGTCATTTTAGAAGTGAGGCGCTAGACTCTTGTAAGATAACAAAAATTGAAAATATATCACGAACATTAAAGGGAAAATGGCCGTCCGCGCGGACGTCGGATTCGAGAAATTCGTTGTCCGCGGGGAATTTTTGACCGCCGATGACCGGCGGACGGGTGGTTTTTCGAGCCCTGGTATATATACCTATATTGCCCATAGGCAGTCAAAATGACTGGATTGTAAAAGAATAAATAATGTGTAAAGAAATATGTTTAAAATTAATTTTTAATATTTTTTATATCACTTACAGTTACATAACAAGTTATTAGTAAATATTAACAATAAAAAATTATATGTTGTACAAAATTCTACGAAATTGTGTCATTATATACCTCTCTTTATACTTCTATATATCTTCATTATATACTTCTCTAATTGAAATTAAAAGCAGTCAAAATGACTTCCTAAGGAAATCTAGAGTTAATAAGTACTAAATGCATTAGTATTAACCACTTTGCTACTTGCACTTAAATTGATTTAATCAAGTATCTGTTATTTATTTAATATAATTAAATATGTCTATTAATACAAATTACAATATCACATAAGTGTAACATTGTTATGATTGCTTTTTTACAATTTTTTGGTTCTTTCTTTTCTTCAGGATACTGTCTGCGAAAGTCCAATTTTCCTCAATAGCCATCAACACTCGATGGATAATTGATCAAGCACCAGAACCGTCAAATATTGTATGGTGAGTACTTAGTGAAAATAATTTCAAATTTACTTATAGGCTTTTAGATTCAACACAATTTTAAAAATTTTGCAGAACAGATGAAAAAACGTACCATCTAAACGTTTGAACTTATACAATTGTTTTTTGGAAAAACGGTGATTTCATTTTCAAAATAGTTTTCATCAAAAAAAAAAAACATTTCAGTTTTTATGTAAATTATTATTATGTTTTTTTTGCTGCTGCTGTTGTTGTTGTTGTAGTTCATTCACGTCGCACTAGAGCTGCACAATGAGCTATTGGCGACGGTCTGGGAAACAACCTTGAGGAGGATCCGAAGACATATGGCAATTTTGATCCTCTGCAGAGGGGATGGCGCCCCCGCTTCGGTAGCCCGATGTCCTGCACGTGAAGTCGAGCACTTTACTGGTGGAACAGCTTAACGAGGACCAATACCGCACACCCTAGGTCCCTACGCAGACTGATCCAAGTGGTCACCCACCCGCACCCTGACCACAGCCAGTGATGCTTGACTTCGGTGATTTGTTGGGAACCGTGTCTTAACGATCACTGTAGAACTTTTTTTTCTTCTTTTTTTTCCAAAAATGCATAAGTGCTTACGTTACGTTTTTCGTTTTTTTTCTTCTTTTATCATTTTTTCCTTTTATTTATTTATTTTTTGAAAACTATTTAGCAATACCTACTTTGTCTTGTCAAACTGTATCTTAATGTTAGGTCCCTAAGAAAAAGAAATTTCTTGTAATTTTATTTATTTTATATTATAACGTTTTATTTCTACCATTTTATTATTGATAAACTTAACTATTTTCAATAAGATTTTACTTTTTATTTTTATAAAAATACTATTTGTTTTTAAAACTCTTGTAAAAATAAAATTAAGCCAAAAAAGTATACTCATTAGTAATCGCAAATTAAGCAAGGGAAAAACAAAATAGCTGTTGGCAAGACTGATTAGTGCAAATAATATTTTTTTTTTAATAGGATTAGTCCAAATAATAATTTTTTCTCCACAGGGAAAATGTTAAAGATAGAACTTTCACTTGGAATTTACGAACCTCCTTCATTAATATAACAGTTCTATTGATTGCCTTTTTTCTTACTACACCAGCTATCATCATCAGCAGTTTCAAGTTAGATCCTGAGAGAATGACGTCAAAAGTAACTTTTATTTCAAAAAAAAAAAAACTATCTTTGTTGAAAATTGTTACTGTAAGCGATGATAAGTTTTCCAACTTTTCAAAATATGTTGTTTTTTTTTATAATGAGTAATATGAAAAGCATATTTATTTATAAGCATGTTTTTTCATAATATGTTTTTTTTTCTTAATAACTGCATAAGAATTGAGTATAGAATTCCAATGTGGGAACAATTATCTCCCCTGTTGTGTGGATCAAGAGATTGCTAAGATACCAAAAATAAAATTTCAAAAGTTCGGGAAAATCCTTCCTATTTATGGCTTTTTTTTGTTGCAAAATTTAAAAGTAGGAAAGCTAAAAGACATAATAGTAGAATAATACTCTAATTTTAAATAAATAAGGTCAGCACATCAACTTAACAACATGATCTTTCTAAGCGTTTTTCTCGAAAGCACGGTTTTTTAGAGAAGTAAATACATATTTTTAAAAAAATAATAAGTCTTAATAAAAATGTCCAAGTAGTTTTTAAGGTTAAAAAACAAAAATTTATTTTCACATATTATGCTGTTTTCTTTTCTTGACTTTTTTTTCAGAATGTTTTCCTGGCAAGATTTTTTCTGACCGTTGTGGTATGGATTCTGTCTTTGTCTATTCCAGCACTTGTTGCATATTCTTCGCACTATTTGGAGTTCGAAACAAAGTAAGTCGTTTTCAAATCTCGGATGTTTGTAAACCTTCTTTTGCGCTTTTCATTGTAAATTTTTCTTTATTCATGAATTTCCTTTTGCATTGTTATAAATTTAAGATTTATTTTTGCATTGTTATATTTGTGAGTTTCCTTTTGCATTATTACATATTTGTGAAAATTTTTGGCATTGTTATGTATGTAAATTTGCTTCTACATTTTTATTAAAGTATTTACTTTTGCACTGTTAGTTTAAGTATTTACTTTTACATTGTTAATTAAAGTATTTACTTTTACATTATTAATTTAAATATTTACTTTTACAATGTTAATTGAAGCATTTACTTTCACATTGTTAATTAAAGTATTTACTTTTTCATTGTTAGTTTGTAAATTTACTTTTATATTGTTAGTCTTCTTTAAATTTGCTTTTATATTGTTAATGTGTTATTCACTTTTGCTTTGATAAATCATAAATTTACTTTTACATTGATAATTTGCGAATTTACTTTCATATTATTACTTTTACATTGTTAATTAGACCGGGATAGCCTGGATGGTAGGGCATTGGGCAAATATCCAAGAGGTCGTGAGTTCGATCATCGTCGGCCGGGGACTTCCCGTGTGCAAAATAGTGACTGGTGCACGCTAAATCTGTTGGTGTCACAAAGCCCCCCAATTTCCCATAACAAATAAATACCTCTGGCACTGGATCGGAGATTGATCTTGCTCTGGTTCAGTTCAAAATTACGATCTGATGATAGATGGAAGGTGTGTGAATGTGTCTTCCCTGTAATATGAGCTATAACGTGTATGTGTGCGGCAGAAGTTGAATTCTTGGCCGTAGATGGCGCCACTGGAAAACAAGAAGCGCACCTCTCTGCCTTAAAATTGGCTTGTCAGTATAAGCAAGTGGCATAAGACAACAACACTGTTTATTTGAGAATTTACGTTTATATAGTTACTTTTAAACTGCTAATTAGTAAATTTACTTATACATTATCAATTTTTGAATTTACCTTAATATTGTTAATTTTAGATCATCCATGTACATGTCTTTAATGAGAAAAACAGTGATATTTTTGATATTAACAGTCGTAATTTGTCCGTCTCTAGGGCTGACTAGGTAAGTCTTTCATTGCATTATCTAGGTAAGTATTCTAACAGAACGTTGCGCTATCACCATCCTTAGTGCGTGTATTTAGAGACACAGTTAAACAAAATTAAGTAAAAAATATACGCATTAAGAGTCATAAATGGAAATTTAAGTGAGAGAAAAAACGGATATATATATATATATATATATATATATATCAAAATGAAGATAAAACAAAGAAAAATTATAGACATATGAAAAAAGGGGGGGAATAATAAGTAAAAAGTAACAAACAACAGTTTAAAAAAAAAGAAAAAAAAGGATGAAGTTTTATTTAAAAAAACCGGAAAAAAAAGATATAATCTTTTCATCAGCCCACATGATTATATCCGCTAAACAGTATATATATATGCAAATGATAAGTTTAATTAGTTTATAAGCATAATAAAGTAACGTCATATTTTGCAATACTTGTAATTTTTATTGTCACTTTATCATTTTTTAATTTAACTGAAAATATTTCGCTCAAAATTGATTTTTTTTTTTGTGTAATGATTTTTAGTCTGATTAAATTTCTTCATAGATTTTTTCTTTCATAGCTTAAAAACATTACATACTAAGTTTGAAACATCATACTAAATTATATAAAAGTTTGTATACTTTATAATTTGAATATTTGTCGATTATTATTAAATTCAGTATAAAAAATGAATTATAATTGTGGGTGAAAATACTATTCCTTGCTTAGCCTTGTCTTCGGATAAATGATTTTCGTAAAAAAGCGCAGAAGGTTTTTGATTCTCACTAATAGTTTAAAAATATGGAGAAATCATAAAAAAAAAATTGATTGTTTGAAGGTCAATAACACAAGTATGTCAATATGTCAAGTATGTCAATAGGCATAGTTATTGAAAGAAATTACGTTTTTGCTTTTAAATTACGCTTGTGCGGCTTTGTAACTTAATATCCAAACATTTGATCAAATTTTTTTTTGAGTGTTCTTTTTTTATTTTGTGCATTGTACAGATAATAACAACATTTTAAATTCAATTTGTACGTAAATTTTATTCTCAGAATTAACGCTGACTCGAAATCAATAACCAAATTATAATGAAACCACATTATTTCTGGCTTAATTTTATTAACAGATACAGTAAGCAACAAGGCTACTTGTCTAAACAACATTTTAAATAAAGCAACACTCTACTTAATGCATTACGTCAAGTCTGTTTTAATACATATGTGTAAGATCCTGCAAAAACTAGCCAAAAATCATTAAAAAATTAATGTTATTTTTCTTTATTTCAGTTTAAACGCCCTTATTCATTTTACCATATCGAATTATAAAGAATTTGATAAATGGAAGTAAGTTAGTTCAATAGCTGTTCCAATTAAGTGTTAAAAAATTGTTACAACTGTAAGGGGCGTTATAACTTACCACAACAAACCTCGCCTCGCAAAATAAGCTGTAGTAAGCAGCTGTATACTTTCTAAAAGGAAGTAGAACAGGTCAAGAGCTAAAAATTTTGACACTTATATTGAAAACATCATCCATAACACAACAGTACAGACGAAATTAATAATAGAGATTAGTTGTAGGCAGATAGGTTACTGTTAGTTATAGTTTACCTAAAGAAGAGAAAAGAGGTACCACTCCACCTTTAAAAACGTATATGGAATTTAAAACGAGCTCGCTTTCTCCTGATTCTGCTGATATCTAGTTACAATGATGAAAATAAAAGTTTTTCATTATTTCTTTCAAGAATAAAATGTAAAAAAACTCGTTTTTACGCTGTTCTCAAGTCATTAAAAGTTTTTATCTTTTTCTTGGATTAATGAAGGAAAGGGAGATCACTTTATTAAAAAAGAATTTTTTTTAGTGTTGTAAATCAATAGTAAATCGATGTAGTAAATCAATTTCAATGAGTTTAAAAACTTTATAGAACTTACTTTATGTAATTACTTTACTTTACAATCTTACTTTATGGAAGAAGTATATTAACTGATTCCGACATCTAGTGATGCTTAAAGAAAGTAAATGTCCACCATTTTTACAAAAATAGAACCTATTTTATATTTTTAGAAAATTCACACTTTTGAAAATATATATCTGAGAGTATTCAGCTCAAATATTATTAACTTATATTTCAAATGAAGAAATTAAGCAGCACGAGTCCTTCATTGATGTGATAAAAATAGGAAAATCTCGCAATAATTGTCGTAGTAGAAGGTGAAAAGGTACAAGTGTGCAGGAATGGCGGATAGCTTTTTTATTTTTAGCTATTTTGGCTAGAATGATTTACCTTCTATTAAATGTCTCTGAGTTTATCAAAAAAATTTTTTTCCAGTTTTTCTTTCTCGAAGAACAGTTCGAGAATGTAGTTCTACTATGAATTAGATTCTACATTTTCTAGAACTGGTTTGCTGAACACTAAATGAAATTGAAGGTTATACGAAAGTTAAAACAAATATATAACTACACATTTAGAAATGAAATTTTTTTGTAGATATTAATTTAATTTCATACGACAAACAGGTGCATATTCCTCCCAGACAATGGAGCTTTCTTTTCTGATTATGTTATGACTTCAGCATTTATTGGAACAACCATTCAACTACTACGCATATCTGATTTACTTTATTGCTTATTGAGTGCTCTCATGGCCAATTCAGAGGCCGAAAAAATAGCTATTCGAAAGGTACTCCTATTTTTACTATATTCCTAGTTTTATAACAGACGCATGTGAAGTGGAAACGTGTCAAGGTAGCATGTTTTCATACTCGTTTTTCCAGGATTAAAAACATATGTTGCAGTCGACTGTAAAAATTAAACTTTAATTTGATTTTTCCAATGTTTCAAATAAAATGATTTTGAAACGAAATTTTTTATCAAAGCAAAAAGGAATTCTGAATTCAGGAGCTAACAAACCGCAAAACTTCATAACCGAATTGAATTACTTGATTTTATCAACAGATACCAACATATGAACAAAACTGATTTAAAGCAATTAAGTGAACTAATTCTTATTATTTGAATCATTTTGATAATTCACCTTTTACAAATAAGAGTTGTGTATTACAGTTGGGGTCACATCCCTAAAACTAGTTATTAATTTGCTTCATTTTTTCGACACTTATTTGAATCCGTTGAGTAAAATCTTCAGTTTATTCAGATTCAAATAAAAATTTGAATCACTGATTCAAATATATAGTCTGCGACAAAAAGGCACCCAAAAAGACTTCCAGTTTTTCTCTAAACCTATAAAAAAAATATAAAGTTCTAATTTTACCAAAATTATTATTTTCCTGTTCTGTCCTATTTAGTTGATTTGTCATTATATCAAGTATTCAGTGCTGGCAGAAAGATTACATGAAGTTTTATATGTCTTTAAATTAAAACTGCTATACTGACTAATATAATTAAAAATATAAATATAAATTTAAATAAACGAGAAAAAAATATTGAGCCGTTAAGTTATTTACTTTATGTAATATTTTTATCTCTATTTTCACACTTTCTGAAGAACAATGAAACATAAATGAAAGAAATACATTCAAGAGTAACTTAATTGCTTCTGGCTTTACAACGATACAATAATAACGAATTAACTTGTGCTGTTACAGAGTAAATTTTAATACTTAATTTAACTGATCATATATGTATAGGACTGTAACAGTAAAGTTTAGTTGAATTTTAATCAAACTAAGCTTCAAATTATTGAACTGTGCAAAAGTTCAATAATTTGAAGCTTAAATGAAGTATCATTTCTTTGTAATTTGTGTTCTAGAAACTTCACTATTGAAAGGTAAATATTTTTTTTTATTTAGATGATTCCTCTGATGTAAAAAAATAATGACATTGATTTTATAATAAGTAATTTTTATTTTTTATTTTTTTATTTTTAAAGCAGAGGTTTAGTTGAGAATTACGAACTGAACGATTGAAGACGGAAAAAAATTATAAAGGCCACTTTTTCGAGATTTTTTCGAGATCACACTTTAGTAGGAAATTAGAGAGTGAATCTTTAAAAACCTTGGAATAAAAAATCGCTTCTGCGGTTAGTGAGCGATAATGTTCAGAAGGTGATTATCACCCACAACACAGTTTATATTCGTTCCTTTGGACTACTAAAGTGATCTGTGCGAAGGTTTCCTCTCCTCTAGGTGGTGTTGATTTATTACGTTAAGTGCAAAAGAAAAAATAATAATAATAATATTAATAAATAAATAAATAAATGAATAAAAGACATGCAAAGTGATTTCTCGTAAAAATTTCAGAAAATTTACGATGCGATGACGATTTTCTGAATAGCAATATTCTTCCTACATTTTCTGAACAATCTATTTTCGATATCGTTTTTATTTTAGAATTTGCAATAAATTTTTATCGGCATATTATTAGATAACTTTAGATAGGTGGGTTTTTTTAACAGCCTGATTTCTCTGAAAGGTTCCATAATTGTTCATGAATATTTATTTGTGTTATTAAAAAAATATCTCTTTCCATGTTTTTTTCAGAAAATTTACGATGCATCAAAAAGCATTTTGAATTTTCTGAATAGCAATATTCTTCCTACATTTTCTCAACAATCTATTTTCGATATCGTTTATATTTTAGAATTTGCAATAAATTTTTATCGGCATATTATTAGATAGCTTTGGATAGGTGGTTTTTTTAAAAGGCTGATTTTTTTGTTCTGCGTTCTATAATTGTTCATGAATATTTACTTGTGTTATTAAGAAAATATCTCTTTCCATGCTTTTTTCAGAAAATTTACGATGCGTCAAAAAGCATTTTGAATTTTCTGAATAGTAATATTCTTCCTGCATTTTCTCAACAATCTATTTTCTTTATCGTTTTTATTTTAGAATTTGTAATAAATTTTTATCGGCATACTATTAGATAGCTTTAGGTAGGTGTTTTTCTTTAACAGACTGATTTCTTTGAAAGGTTCCATAATTGTTTATGAATATTTATTTGTGTTATTAAAAAAATATTGCTTTCCATTTTTTTTTTCAGAATTATTCTCCGTGGGAATTCAGTTTTGGTGTTCAGTATTCTTATGCATTGATGATATTTAGTCTTACAGTGTTTTTTAGCATTTTTTGTCCAATTATCTCCGTATTTGGTAACTACATCCGTACTTTTAATTCCAGTATTTATTTATGCTTTTTTATTCTATTTTTCTATACAAATTTAGGCTCACTCTGTTTTTAAGGAAAACTTAAGACACGCGGAAAAGAATATGTTAAAAAAAATTTTTTAGCATAAATAAATTACAATCAAAAACGTTTCTACTTTTTAACAATATTTATGACAGCTTTTACAGAAAAGTCTGTAAAAAGTGTTTTCATGGCATAATTTCTCCAACTTTATCATATATCAATTTAATTAAATTTTGTATTCCACAGTCTGATTATGTAATAGCAATTAAGTAACAAATATCTAGTAAATTTTGTTGAAAGTTTTTGCAAAACATGATTCTGAATTGTTGAACACTATTATTGCACTCGATTAAGGAAACTATGATTCTATTTAATGAAAATATAGTTGAATATAACACTTTATAAAGGTTACAGCAAATTTTCTCAGGATTGATTCAAAGTACCAATATTCAACCTTAAATTAATTTTTTTTGTGGCTTAATAAGATCAGTTCTATCCTTTTTTTTCCTGCTAAAATTTATTTTTTAAAGATCTTTGCTCTCACCGCATTTTTTCTTCGTTCTTTTATCCCGGTTTTTTACTTATAAAGAATAGTAACATAAATTAAGAAAAAGTCATATTTCCGTATTTCCGAAAATAAATTTCAATAGTTGTATTGTAATACGTAAAATAAATAAGGCCCAATCACGCAATAAAACAGATACCATTTTTTTAGCAACAGGAATGGGAGCTTTACGCGGTTTGATTATAAACAATTCAAACTAAAAGCAGCGATACCACCGAACTTAATATACAATTTTTAAGTCCATGCTAAGATTGAAGCCATAAGATTCTACATATGAGATTTGCCTAACTTATTTAGGTGATAATAAAAAAAAAAAAATCAAATATAGTAAATAATTACCAGATCTATTACAGCAGCGGTGGAATTAAAATAATCAAAACCAGTTAGTTTGTTAAATATGCTATGTACACCATTTATTTTATTTATGCATAGTTTCACGCGTTAATCGTTTCATTGTTAATGCATTAATAATTACTAAGACAACAATGTAAGTAAAATATAATATGTTTCTAACTTTTGATTTCTATGTTTTTCAGGCCTGATATATTTTATTTTACAAAATTTAGTTAATCGGTACAATATATACTTTGCTATGGCTCCGTCCCAAATCGGTCACAATATTCATATTCTAGCGATAAAGTTTATGATGTTTGCCATGTTGCTAAAATCTACTGGGTTTTTCTGCATTCTTTACTTAAGATCAGGTGAGAGTGTTTTCAAATTTATTTTTTGGCACATCGTGCCAAATTTATTTTCTTGGAATATTATAAAAATTAAATTTTCAAATTTAAAATAATTAATAAATACTGGGCATTCCGGAGTAATTGTGTTTCGCCAGGGCGTACGCGCGTAATGTTAAAAAGGAGAATTCATTTGCTCGGAGGTAAGCAAAAGGTTTTGAAGAAACAAGGTTTTAGAAGAGAGAAGGCTTTCGCAAAGATTACCATCTACAAGAAATCCGATCTTTAGTAGTTCGAACGTTGTAACTTTTTCCTCATTTTTTCCACACTGCGTAGTTTAGTAATCCGAACATTGTGACATCTTTCTTATTTATCTCCCACTGCGCTGTTTATGTTCGTCCGTTCGCAATTACAAAAGTGTTTCACACGAAGACTTTCTCTCTTTTAGTAGGTGTTGGGTAAGGGCCTGGTTTCTTAAGACAAGCTCTTTCTCTGGGCGTCAGCGAGAAGTTGACGTACCGCTTACGCTAACAAAATACTGCTTTCTTAGCTCAGCGGAAGAAGTCGGTCCAACGCAGACATTATCTCGCCTTGCGCATGCGTTAATAACGTAAACAAATTCTTATTTTGAATTTGTATTGATTTTGTTATGGTCGATCAGTGCTTTAGAGAACAAATAATGACTTTGTCCAGGAAAAAACTCATTATAGCTTAGCTAAATTAAGAAGAAGAGGAAGAAGAAGCTATATTTAATGTTAAAATCCAAATCTTGGCTGATTTCAATGCTCTGTTGGATGTTGTCCGCCATTGCTTCTGTCGCTAACGTTACGTGCCATGCGGACGTCAGTCGTTGTTCAAGCTGAGCGTTCGATGACGTATGCTGTCTCACTCACAAATTGACGCTAAATTCAAGCTGACGTTTTGTAACTCCGACCTGTCCTAAGAAACCAGGCCTTTAAGACAGATATGTAACGAAAGCGAGGTATAAAGGATATCATTTGGTTCCGATGCATGGCATCACTACAGTAGTGTTGCCACTATTGAGGTACCAACTTTTGTATTAGAACTAAATAGAGTGGTGGTCGAATGAAATTAGTGTGACTTATAAAAGTAACGTAAACTTTTGTATTACTAGTTTCTGACATTCATGAGTACCTTAGGGTATAATCATAAATTTTAGTCTCAGTAATTTCTTAATCTGGAAGATGATATCGAAGTGGAGGGAACAACGCAAGCATTAGTATCTAGACAAATAAGATATTGCTTTCGACGTATTTTTTATACTAAATCAAAAGCGGGGCTAATAGTTTATAAGTAGGAAACATTGCATCACTTGTCTAGATAGCAATCTCAGACGTCTGAATAGATATAAGTAAAGAACGGTACATTTTACTCATAAAAGTCTCATAACTTTAAAATTTGCTCCATCAACTTGGAGCTACTCTAATTAGATTTAGCGTAAAAATATATAGGTAGCAATACCTCATTTAACCAGATTGTGAGACGCGTAAGTCTGAAATTATACTTTTTATGCATAAAACCCTAATAACTTCCAATCTATTAAGCCTATAACTTCTAGTACTATCCACTTGATGTCTTATTCGAGTAAGAGTTGAGAAATATATTGATCGCAATTTTTACGTTTCCCCTTCCCTAATTCCTTCTGATTTCGAAATTCTCTAAGGCTCTTAGAATTACATTTATCAGTATTCTGTCGTGGAATTGAAAAAACAACGTCTGAAGTAGTTTCTTAACAGCTTGGCAGTGTACCCTAAATTATCTTCAAACCAAATTTAGTGCTTTTATCACCAAATTAGTTACAAATTTCGCCATTAGGTGCTGCTGACTTAGAACTACATTGCAATACTTTCTGTTGCTTCGACCATTACAATTGAAATATTTTTCCTGGCGTCTATTTATTTTTCTTCTTCTTAAGAATGTGTAAGTTTTTGGCGTAAATAGTAGTTATTTTGAAAACATAATTTTATAGTTGTTTCTAATCAGCAATTCCATCTATGGATAAACTTCGGTAGTAATTTTGAAATTTGGTAACCCTAAATACAGTCACTCGAAAAAATTCGAGTGACTGTAACCTAGTTTCCTGAACAGATGACAAACTGAACATTCCTATCTCCAACGTTTTCCCGGTAATTATTTTTCAAATGATCGGTCATTTTTGGAAAAGTCGGTAAACTTTTGCAGCTTTTGACCAAATAAATATTTTTTTCCCTTTTATAACAAGAAATATCAATATGATCATTCGTAGGCTGGGAAAATACAACATTTGCTGCAAGTATTGTGATGTGGATAAACATGCTAATTACCTTGACTTCTATCAATCCATGCCGTTGGAAGTTTTTACCACCTTGTAACCTCATACCTATAAAAAAGGTAAGCACAATCAATATGAAATCTGCATTTTTCAATATTCAAAAAACAGCATTTAATCAATAAAAACTATACTCACTTTTATCATCTCGGAACGTTATACGTGTATGGAAGTTAAGTTCAATTATAATGCGATTACTTTTTCTTCCTTCATTCTTATCCTACTAATCTGAATCAGATTATATTCCCCTAGTTTGGTCACATTCATTAAAGCCCCGGATAAATAAAGTAGTGATAAATAAAGTATCTTGGTGACTGCAACTCTCTTGTGACCACAATTCTCAATGTGCTCGCAATATTGCTCAAGATGCTCAATATTTTCATATTCTTGAAGATAACTTAATTATTTACTATTTATTTTTTAAATTCTTTTTTTTTCTCTCAGAAATTATGTTTTATTCTATTCAATGAAAATAATACCTTATCTATAAGTTAAAACTTTCTAATTTTGTCTCTCATAATTTGCTATAACTTTTTTTTTCAAAACTCCTTGAATCTTTTTATGAGGTTCAAAGGGTTGTATAATTTGAGATTTATATCATTACGGACATTATTATCAGTTTTCAAAGAAAATTTTTTTTCGCCAATAGTTCAAATCTTTTTCTTCTTAATTAGTACCAATTGTTATTTGGTCTTTTATAATAAACATTTTCTAAAATTTTAAGCACAATTATTTAAATTTAAAATGAAATCTTAATTTTCATTTTTTTCAAAACAAAATAATCTTGTTTTTTAATTGTACTATCTAATCATCATCTTATCGGTATTACAAAAATAAGTGTTAAAATTATTTAATTTATATAGATTCACTATGATTGAGATATATTATTGGAGTATTTATAATATTATGTGGTAATTATTTTATTTTAATAAATAACTCTCAATATTTCAAGCAAAATAATAATTTCATCAATTGGATAAAATAAAACAATCAACCTGTGAGGTATGTAAACTGAAAAAATAAATATATATATTATACTGAATTAGTACAAAGGTATTTAATTGTATTCAATTTATTTCTTTAATAATTTTATATTTTAATAACAAGTAATAATGTTAATAACATTTCTTTAAATTGGAAAATTTTTACCATAGCTGTAAGTTTATTGAAATAGACGCATTATTCTTTTATAAAATTAAACAGCAATTAAAATTTTTAATATAAACATTTCTGGAAGCGTTTCTTTAAAATTAAAATGGCGAAATTCCACAGAAGCAAGCAAAACATGAGCAATTTGTAATATAATGGGACAATTATTTTGTTTAGCATTTTTTTAAATATAAAATTTAATCATACTTAGAATCGCTTGGAGTCCATTTATCTCTGCCAATTCTGTGCAGCCATACTTTCCGTCGTTCTTTATTATGATCACCAACAGGTTAGCGACCTAACTTAAAACCTTGTTTTGACTTATTAGAACACCCAAATGTCTTTAATGTATTAAAAGCATGAAACAATGAAAGATTAAAAAAAAAGCTGAAATAAAAAATAAAAGATCCGTCGCAATCATACTTCGCCGTTCTAGCCAGTCAACAAAATGTCTGTAGCTTACCCATGTGATCAGCGGCAGCCAATTAAAATCAAAAGCGACACAAAGGTCTCTAGGAAAAGAGTGGTGCTACTTTATCTAATAATCCAGGGCTTTAGCCTTCATCATCCTTTGGATGATGTCGGGTTATTTAAATAGATCGTCTTGCTGCAAGGAAACACAACTGATTAGATGGTATGGAGTGGTTTTGCTACATATTGCACTTTGTGTAAACCTCGAACATTCCTAAAACTATATAAAAATCTAAAGCAGACTTTGTCAATATTCAGAGGTCAACATTTTATGAACCGAAAACTATAACTATGTTTTACCACCTTGGGGCCTCGTATACTTTAATTACTTCATTCATCAAAATTCATCGATTAATTCAAATCAAGTGGAAAGAATAAGGATTGTCTGTTAGTATTAACCCTTTCGCTTACGGCAGTCCGACGCAGACTCCGCTGAAATGACGTCACTGATCAGTGAACCGTGCCGCAAAGTGTAAACATTGCATGTTAAGCTAGTGTTCGGATTTTTTTATTTATAACAATATATTTGGAGATTGTTATGTTACAATCTCTATGAAACTTAAGAAGAAAAAAAAAAATTTCCGAAACTCGATAATAACTGTTTTTTCAAATTTTTGTGATACTCAAAGGAAAATTTCTTGTTATATTTTTTTATGTACCAAACAAATACTTCACTCCTAAATAAAACACACAAAAGAAACTTGTTTCAATTTACAAAACACATTAAATGTATTTAAAATATATATTTAGTGGTATTTATTCACTGTATGTCAATGAAATATTAACCAGAGACAGATTGACAAAATGAAGCAGATTTTGCTGGGTATCTAACGATATCACGCTGATGTCGGCTAAACACGGAGCTCATGATGAAAGGATTAGAAATATTTTGAACAGCCGATGGTAGAAATCCGACTTAGATCCAAAGTTTGCCTTTCAATTAGCTGAGCATAATGAAATGGCTTTCAAGCCTAGGACGACCCTCTCGGCGTGTATCCCCGATTCCACTCAGTGAAAACTCACCCCCTCCTAATTTTAGGCTGCAAGGCCTAGGAGGATTCAAATATTTGTCGAGGAAGAATCGTTTAAATCCTGTAATAAAGCTTTTATTTGAACAAGAATTTTAGTTACTCTGTTACTCTCCTAGTTATTCTATTTAGTTACTTAAATACCATTTTAATAAAAATAATTTATTTAAAAGAAATTTAATTCTTCNTTTTTTTTTTTTTTTTTTTTTTTTTTTTTTTTTTTTTTTTTTTTTTTTTTTTTTTTTTTTTTTTTTTTTTTTTTTTTTTAATAATAATACTTTTTTCCTTTCAGCTCTTCAAACATTACAGAAAACCAGATGCCACTCGATTGGAAGAACTTGATGTAAGTGTTTCAAATTTTTTGATTGAAGCTGGAATTAAATTCATTAGGAAGTTCAATTTTTACTTTTTATAAGACAGTGTGAAGTACAATCTATTTCAACTTCATTGATATTTAAATGTTGATGGAAAGCTATTTTCAAATCTACGGTGAGCGCGGCCAAATTAAAAGGTGAACTTAACTTCAGAAATTATTAAAAAAAAGTACCAATGAAGAGCAACATAAAAGTACCAATAAGTTGGGAAAAAAATTACAAATAAGAATAATAAATTAAAATTTGAAAATTTAATAACGATAAGATGAAATCTCATTATCAGCTCACACGATTATATCCGCAAAAATAGTGCTTTATAATATTGCATAAAGCCTATGCACAATAAATCATTATATGCAATGTGTAAGGAGCACCGAAGAAAAAAGTACAACCAATTCGTAAACAAAATTTTATCAAGTAAGAATATCACAAAAGTGTAAAAAATTCAAAATCAAAAACAAATGGGATTATATAAAGCAAGAAGGAAGGAAGTATGTAAGTTGCAAAAATGATTTTAAAATATTTCAGTGACTAAGTTGCCAAATTACAAAATATGAAATTAAAGCGTAAATAGAGAATAGTGAGATATCTTCAAGACGCCTTCATACTGAAGTTGCATTTGATTTGCTGTGACCATGGATTGCCCCAAAAAAGGAATTTGCGAAAAGTAATAATATATTATACTGGATAATTTTAAGTTTATAATTAATAAACGGATGAATTTAAACTGTAACAATGTGATTCGAGGATTTTTATAGAAATTAAAAAAAATTATTGAAAAATTTTTATTATTTAATTGAATCTAGAAAGAGGTTGTCGATTTAGCCAAGCATTCGAACGAATTGGATTTATACTTGGCAAAAATATTAACCTCTATAACTAAGCGATTTTTTAGGTAATATTCTTAAACTAATTTAAATACACAGTTAACTCAATAATTTTGTATAGAGTTTAATTACATATGTTGGATATTAATTGTTTTAAATCAAATTTGGAAAAAGTATGTCAATTTTTTTGGAATAAATAAATACCACTGCAAATTCTTTAGAATTCTATCAATTTGATTAAAACTAGCATTTAAGTAAATTTTTTTAGAAAAATTTGAAATCCTTAAAATTTGCTTATTTACATTAAACATAAAATCATTCCTTTCATCGCTTATGTCAGATATTTTCGTCTTTTTTAATACTTAAATTCAAAAAATTAAAATTAATATTATCGTCATGATTATGAAGTAATCTTAATTTCTCGGGGTAAATAGTAGTATTTCACAAAATTATATAATTTTGAAAAATAAAAACAATTAATTGATCAATATCTTTAAAAAAAAATTTGATATTTAGTGTAAAACTTCTTCCATAAGATATAAAAAAAAAATTTGCTAGAAGTGATGAAAAATTAGATCCTTGTAGTATTCTATCAATTTGGAAAAAAAAAAAAAACGTTTTCCATAATAAAGATAATAGAGGACCAGGGGGAAATAATGATTGATCTTTAACTGCTGCATTTTGAAGATTATTAAATTTTGGCAAATCAATAACGTGAAAAATTGGTTCTTCCGGAGAATTATTACACATTGAAGATTGTTATTTGTTCCACCCTCGAGGTTTTCAATTATTAAAAAGACACATACAAATTAGAATTACCAACTAATCAAACTCGCAATTTAAGATACTTTTATAATCATTGTACTTACCCAAAAGAACAACTTTTAGTTTAGAAAGTGGAAGGCTATTAAAGAGGTCTTGGAAATCAAAATAAACGTATATATTAAAATTTATAAGGTTTGCAAAACATTTTTAAGATCAGAACTAAATTAAATTATAGGAAATAATTATCTAAAAAGTTTTGTTAAATGAATATATCTTTGCGAAGAGTTCCATTTGCTTGAAGTTTCAGATACGTGACAAAAAAAAATAATAATATAAAAAGTGAAATTAAAATTAAGGGACCCAAACATTCAACTGTCTTTCTGCTGAAGCTATTGGAACCATATATATTCCTGATTGCGACTGCTATTTTGTGGGTCAAGATTACAAATTTATAAAAAAAAATAATAAAAAAAAAACGTTAAGTATATTAAGATGAGCCGTGGTGGCTCAAGGGATAGAGCAATCGCCTCCCAATGAGGTGACAAGGGTTCGAATCCCCGTGGTGAATGACCGATATGAATCCAGTACCCGGCTCGCACTTATCACAGTGCTGCCGTAAAAAATCCTCAGTGGTAGACGGATCATGAGTTAGAGTTCCATTGCCGTCAGGGTAACCGTGGGAGCTTTTCGGGGTTTTCCCCACCATGTAACGTAAATGTAGGCTATTTCCACCAAAAAGTCCTCTACGAAAGGAAATTTCTCTCATTACTTGATCCAGGAGTTTCCTTGTCTTCTGTATTGGGTTGAAATTTACAGAGCAACAGAGTTGAACATTAGTAATCGCAAACTGAAATTTGGGTTGACTGTTCAAAGACGATTATAAAATAAATAAAAAGTATATAAAGAGAAATTTTGTTTTTGTATTTGATTTTGTACCTAAAATTATCATTTGTGCTAATTAATTAGCATATTTCAGGTCAATCCCCAGAATCATTAAGATAGTATCTTTGAAAGTGAAAATCCGATCATTAGATCAAAAGTTACTAAGGTGTTTTGTTTCTTATTTTGCACATTTTGCAAATTCTCCAAATAAGATGTTTATTCTTGCATGTTTGTTACTTTCAGGTATTTCAGCCTAAGACTTTGGTAAATTATATGCCTATTATTTCACATTTGGACAAATACAATAATCCTATTCAGTTTGAATATCCTGAAGATTCGGTGGACATTTGAACAGCAGAACTACAAGCAAATGATTAATAATATATTTTTCAACTTGATAGTTTTTTTATAATATTTCATTTTAGTAGTTGTACGATTCTTACAGAAACGCCCTTCTTTTATTTACATGTTAAATTTTGTGCACGACTATTGTTTTTTTCTCTCGTTATTTTATTAAATGTGAAATAAAAGGAAGAATAAAATGTGTTTATTTTCACTTGTTCAAATGAGAGGCCTATATTGAGCACACAAGTCAGCAAATGTATGTAATTTCAATAAAATAAATAAATCAAATGAGAGTGACCAGGACTTTTCATGCACTCTAAAAATACACAAACATGTTTGAATTAGTTGCTTATTAAAATTTCACTTTTAATTCGAAATTTTGTTTCTTAAATTATTATTGCTCCGTGTTTTGTTTTTTGAATCTTTTTACTGCATGATTCATATTATGACTACTCTAGTTTATTGACTAAATCAAGAACATTTTGGTATTGAATCCTGATTACGGTAAAATTATTGTCTTGGCATCAAAAAGTCATTGTTCGATATTTGTATTTGTATTATAAATTAGAAAATATAGTAATTTATCAGAAGATGTTAATTCATTCTTTCAGCTTGCTTCTTTCTGTTTTTGGTTAAATCTTTTTCTGCAGTTTTATTTATTTTCAACTTGTTTTTCTAGTTAAATCAATATTTTGCTATCTACCATTTTCATCCGCCATAAGTATTGGAATTAATCATTTCTAAAATTTAGAGACCGTTACCGATACAATTCCATTAATTAAAAAAAACCTAGTCATTTTTTTCTGTTATGAAATTCTGTAGACTGCGTAATTCTTGTATCTTGTTATGCCGAATATTTGTAAATGAAAGGCAATACAAACCAGGTTCTAAGGCTGAGGAATTTTCCGCTGCTGAGCTAACATAAATTGAATTTAATAAATTTTGATCCACACCAAAAAAAGCAATCATAGAAATATTCATATCTATTAATGCTACAAATATTTTTAATAGCACTTTCCTAATTATTTATTGAACCTATTTGATTGTTTGCTTTTAATCTAGTATGGTAACAAATTTTTTTAAACAAATTAATTATTCAGTCATGTTCAACTTCTTCAGGAAACGCATATTATTTCCATGACTTTCATAAATTACTCTATCAATGAATATGTTTTCAAATATGTGTTTGCATATTTAGTTGGGTTTTGCACAGAAAGTGTTTGGTTCTTCAGTGTTGTTGTTGTTGGTAATTTACGTCGCACTAGAGCTGCCCAATGGGCTTTTGGCGACGGTCTGGGAAACATCCCTGAAGATGATCCGAAGACATTCCATCACAATTTTGAACCTCTGCGGAGGGGATGGCTCCACCGCTTCGGTAGCCCGACGACCTGCGCGCGAAGTCGAGCACTTTACGGTAGAACAGTTCAACGAGGACCAATACCGCTCACCCTCGGTCCCAACGCAGGCTGATCCAAGTGGTCACCCACCCGCACACTGACCGCAGCCAGTGATGCTTGACTTCGGTGATCTGCTGGGAACCGTGTCTTAACGATCAGTCCGCTGCGGGACTATTCGTAATATACTTGTGATTTGTAAATATTTGTGCTTGTGCGTTGTTGTGCTTGTTAAGTGGCTTATCAATGGCTTAACAAATATCAAAAATCACAAAGCTACATTACGAGAAAGAATAAACAATATGTTCAGGCTTATGGCTGGAATCGAACCCGCGTACTAGAGTTTCAGAACGACAGTGAGAAAAGCAATCCCCCTCTGTCATAGAGGACTACGATCACTTAAGTCTCAAGAAGTTCATCTACTCTATTGCTATGTAGTCTCAAGCTACACTTCTCGCTTGTAAGCATTTTTTCAGTGATTTCAGGGAACGAATGTCCCGCAGTAGACTGATCGTTAAGGCATGGTTCCCAGCAGATCACCGAAGTCAATCATCACCGGCTGCGGTCAGTGTACTGGTGGGTGACCACTTGGATCAGTGTGCGTAGGGATCGAGGGTGTGCTGTATTGGTCCTCATTAAACTGTTCTACCATAAAGTGCTCAACTTCGCGTGCAGGTCGTCGGGCTACCGAAGCGGGGGTGCCATCCCCTCTGCAGAGGATCAAAATTGTGATGGCATGTCTTCGGATCATACTCAGGGATGTTTCCCAGACCGTCATCAATAGCCCATTGTGCAGCCATAGTGGGACGTAAATGAACAACAACAACAACATCAGGGAACGAATACAGAGTCCTTTATGTAGCTGTTCGGGAATCTATTTTCTTGGTGAATTCAGGCTTATACAATTTCTTTATTCTAAATCTGTTTCGTACGCATATTTAAATACTTGATTGCTTGAACAAGCTAATGTGAAATTAAAGAATAGTTAGCATTAACTATTGAAGGTTTGGTTTGGATGTAGATAGGTAGGTACTTTATTTACGTCGAATTGTAGTTGTAGTTCATTTACGTCGCACTAGAGCTGCACAATGGGCTATTGGCGACGGTCTGGGAAACATCCCTGAGGATGATCCGAAGACATGCCATCACAATTTTGATCCTCTGCCGAGAGGATGGCTCCCCTGCTTTGGTAGTCCGACGACCTGCACGCGAAGTCGAACACTTTATGGTAGAACAGTTTAATGAGGACCAATACAGCACACCCTCGATCCCTACGCACACTGATCCAAGTGGTCACCCACCCGCACACTGACCGCAGTCAGTGATGCTTGACTTCGGTGATCTGGTGGGAGCAGTGTCTCAACGATCAGTCCACTGCGGGACTTTATTTACGTCGAACTAGAATTGTACAATGGGATATTGGCGACGGTACCATCCCTGAGGATGATCCGAAGACATGCCATCTTCTTCTACAGGGAGGATGTCTCCCCTGATTTGGTAGCTCAGTGACTTGCGCGTGAAGTCAAGCACTTTACGGTGGAACATTTTAAAGAGGACCGATACCACGCACCCTCGGTCCCTAGGCAGGCTGAGCAAAGCGGGTCACCCACTAGCTCATTGACCACAGCCAATGATGCCTGACTTCGATGTTCTACTGGGAACCGTGTCTTTACGATTATTCCATTGCGGGACTTGGTGTAGATGTAAACGGCATTTTAGAACTACACTAATGGACTTTCAAATTATAGAACGATATCACAAATATACAACCATGGCTAAGACGGAAATTTAACCATGTTTCAGAGTGTGTGATGGCTGGACTATACCCCTCAACCACGGAAGACTCTTGAATGGTTACTATTTTTATTTATTTATTCGCTTATTTACATACATCTGAAGGTTTGTGCACTCAACCTTAAAGGATTACATTAAATCCCTTTTCAAGTGGAAAAACAAATAGCATAAGCTGAAAAAGGACAGCATAAAGATCTATACAGACTTTCTCTGGTATTCGAACCCGCTACCTCCACGTTACAAAGTGTTTGGCTGATGGACGATACCTTTCGGCCATGAAGCTCCCTCGTGTAATCACTATATTAAGGATATTACAAAATACTGAAATAGGCAGTCGGGATCTTTTAATTTTTTATTCAATCGAAAAAAGGTATTTTAGACAATCAGTATTATATCAAATCAGATCAGTTGCTGCTATTTGAATGTCCCACGCTTTTCGTGCAGCTAATGCGGGCTTTTTTGGGACAACTTTTCCCGACTTTGCTATCGTTTGGTTTACCTAGGGAGTCATAAAAGTTAATTATTTAAGTTACTTATCAACTAGACTACAAGGAAAGCTATTAATAAACGGTAAGTTATTATAATATTTATTCTCATCTACAATGATTTATTCTATACCGGAACTAAATTGCATACGCTAGCATACTTACTGTTTCTGTTTATCTTTTATGCATAAAATATTTTCTTTTAGTGTCTTAAAAATAGAATGAACTTTATATTGAAGCTTAAAATGAAAGTATTTTTAAGCATACTATTTCGATACATTTTGGAATTTTTTGTTATATTACTAAATTGTTATTGCTTGAACCTAGACTCGTAAATTCCACAGCATGAAAATATTCAATTTGATTATGTTATTTAAGGAAAGAGCATGGATTTGTTTTAAAGGTATTATTGATTATTTTGAAAAAGTTTCTAACATTAAAATTTTAAGGCAAAGTTAAATATGGTATTCGTGAAATAAATACTACGTTAGAAGAACGCAGTAAAAAAAGCATATTTGTGTATACTCTTGAAGAAACTTATTCTTTATTAAATTTGTAATAAAATTTCCTTTTTTAAAAGCTTGTTAACTATTTTTTAACTGTTTATTATATTGAATTTTAACAAAATAAGTTGTTCCAGTTGTGCGCACCAAAAAGTTTAAGCCTAGATGCCGTTTGTCAAAACACTGTTGAACTACTTACATTTTTTTGAACTTTTAGTGGATGACATTTAAAAACATCAGTGATAATTTCTAACATAGCTGTGTTTGAACAAAAAAAATAGTTTATTACGCACACTTAAATATTTAATTATTTTAAATTAGTGGGCTGTGCCCCCTGCTCGCTAACGCTCGCCAACCCCCGAAAATTGCTACGCAATCTTATATGGTTTGCTTCGCAAACCAAGATCGCTTCGCTCGCTACTAACCTAGGCACATTGCAAATGCACAAAATTCTAAGAATTCAAAACAATCATTCAAATCCATATAACAACTTTTTTTAAAAATTTTTCATCTTTTAAGTAAATACTAAGTCCTTAAAATAAATTTGAATTCAAATAAATGACATGTAATTCGTTAAACCTATTAAAAATGTGCTCACTTTAAAAAGGTTAAAAGTTTGGCTATAATTAAGTCTATTAAAAATTGAAATAAGTGAATTGCAATGGAAAAACCTGCATAAACAAATAAATTCTAGGAAAACAAATAAATTCGAGATATAAATCAAAAATCGTCAAATAAATTCGTAATATATAAATTCGTGAAAAAAAGCACTTTCGACAAAATACTAAAATAACGCTCTATCAACAAAGACTTCTTCTGCCAAGCTTATGCTCTCTTTGGTTATATCAGTTTCCGTTTTTAAAAGCGCTATATGTTGAGCCACCTCAGCTAGATTTGGCATGTGACATTTTTAGCGGCAATCATTGGTCGGTTTTCTAGCGTTGCCATTCGGGGAGTTGTAATGAGGCTTTTTTTTGTCGCCGTGTAAGAGAAATATATATATAGATTAGCTGTGTCAGATAAATTCAATAAAGAATATTACGTGGTAGCACGTGTGGTCAACGTCACCCAATTTATACTTTTATAGTTATCTGATACCACGAGCCTTTTTTTTCCAATTCCTACTATTAGTTCACCCGTTCCATATATATATTTATACATCGTGTTCAAATTTTCCATCGTTAATATTCGTCCATTCAAGTTCAAAAAAAATTTTTTAAACTTGTAGTCGATGACACTTGATGTTAATTCAGTTTCAAGTATTAATTCATTAATTTAATTTTACTAATTAATTTTAGTTTTATACGGGAGAAAAAATTATAATTATTTAATAAAACGGAACTAAAATAAAAAAAATTTTATGTTGACCTAAGAAGAGTTTACTTTAAAAAAAATTTTCTATTACTTGTCGATTGACGGTTTCTAAGATCTAAACTGTGTTCATGTAGAAAGTGCTTGTTCAAAATGGTGCAAGTAGTCTCGCTACTTCAAATATTAAATAAAAAGCTTTGTATTTTTAACAGTTGTAAAGGAACTTTAGCAAATATAGTCTCATTTTCGATTTTCACTTTAAATCTTCTGACGTATTTTGTTTAATTCTCAATAAAATTGCAAATGTGGATTGATTTCCGAAGATTAACTAGACAATTTTGAATTTACCATAAAGCATTAAAAATTATTAGATTTATAGAATTAGACAAAATGAAGTTTTTTTAATAAGACTCGAGGAATTTTTTAAAGAAAGTATTTAATAAAATGTTGAAGTAAAAGATTAAATCATTACGCGTACTTTACATTACTAAAAGAAATTTGCGAGGAGTGTTAACACGAAGAGAAATTATTCATCAAAGGAACTAACGTTAAAAAGAATCTACTTGAAATATTAATTTGAATATTCCTTTTGCACATTATCCATTGCGATTGTTTTTTAAAGTACTTAAAATAATAATTTATAAACAAAAACAAATTATTTACGACATAAAAATTAAGGTATTAAAGTGAACTTACTAGCTTAAACTTAAATATCTTATTTTTAATTTTTCCAACCCTAGTGGTAAATACAGGTTTTGCTAAAGCTTTCCTCTCGAGAACTGAATTTTAAATAGTGACAAATTCTATTTTTGCTTCTGAATATGTAGAAGATCGTTAGTTAAATAGATCGTTAAGTCATATGTGATAAAGGATTAATCTTAATATAGGTTACACGGTGGATTTGGCAAAATTGACATGTTTGGGAAGGCAATAAAGCTTGGAATTTGCAGTTGTAGATTTGACTAGATTTCTTAGATTACTTTTAGTTTCTCTTTTAGAACCATGTCCGTCGTACATTTGACCGGTTTTCCAACAGTTTGGCGACAAGCGACAATGCACCATTTCAGCGTAAACGGCATTTCTCAAAATCATGTTATGTGTAGAACGTATAATAGGATTTTACCACCATAAAATATTTTTAACAAAATAATTTAAACATTATTCAGTCGTGGTGGCTCAAGGCGTAGAATGTTAGAATGTTTGCCTTCCAATGAGGTGTAACAGTTGCGAATCCCAGCGATATCTGATAGATACGAATTCCTCACCCATCTCGCACCGACCACAGTGCAGGCACAAAATATTCTCAGTGGTAGACAGTTCATGCGTTAGACCCCTTGCAGTCGAGCTAACCGTGGGAGGTTTTTGGCTTTCCTGTTCATGCAACACAAAGACGAAATCCATCAAAAAGTCCTCCATGAAGGCAAATTTCTCCCAATACTTGAACAGGAGTTCTCTTGTCTTCTGGAGTTGGTTTAAAATTACAAGGGTACGGAGTTCGAAATCAGTAGTCACAAACCCAAAAAACTAGGTCGGCTGTTCAATGACTGTTTTAAACTTATTTTTCTAATTTTTTATTAAATAAAAATGATAAATTTTAATATTTAGAAATGTTTGCACGGATTTCAGTGATTTTTGACATTTTGGTCATGAAATAAAATTTACTAGATCCAAATAGTAAGATATGTTCTGTAACTTAAATCAATTTTTTACTTTATGATTTTTCATTGTAATTAAAAATTCCGACGACCGAGAGTAAATCCAATTATATTTTTTCCTGACAATCTTTTTTTTTAAAAAGAGCACAGAAATAAAATCTGAAAATATTTTCAAAGTAGTGAAATTTTTCCAATTTACGGCGGGTTACAGGAGGCTTGTGATCTCTTTCTCACTTTGAGTTGGACTTATTTTATCTTCTGTCATTAAACTTTACATAATGTGAATCCTTCGAATTTCAGGAATATGTACTCAAATGTACATATAAAATTTAGAATCAATCGTATTTAAAAGAACAATCAATATATTTAATCATTTATTTGAATTCTGGATTCGATGAACTTTTTTTAAACTATGCGCAACAAAACCTTACGAACCAGACAAATTTAAGTGAAATTAAAAAACTTCTGAATAATTTATACCATAACTGTGCAGAATATAAGTCAATAGAAGTTATCGTGCCGATCATTAAATTCTTATTGTAAAATGCTACCGAAAGTGCATTTAAGACAATTTGCTTTAAAATATAAAAACTTACAGTATAGAGAATAGTCTCTTAAACTGCTCGATTAAAAATAAACAAAGCTTGATATCCAATAAAATTTTTATCCTAATAATTTAGAACTTTATTTTTTCACCAAACATTTCAATTAATTCTTCATTTTCGAAAATGTATATTTACAATACTCTGATCGCTGATTTTCGTCCACATCGTTGAATTAGGATAAATAAAATAAAAATAGGGGAAAGCTTCTAAAAGTGTTTTGCTGCTCAGAAATTTCTCATTCAAATAAAAACTAATCTCGTGACCCAATGCTCATTTTTTTACATCAAACTTGGTGATAGGTTGGTATGATTTAATCATTAACTAGAAGTAGGTAAAGTCACCTGTTTGTAGCACAGAAGATTCCAAATTTCCTCGAGTATCCCTTTCTACCAAATGTTTTTAATAAAACAAAGCTAAAAATTAAAGTACTTAAGAAATGTTTGCTATAAATATTTTGCCGGGTGTCCTAAACAAGTGGAGCATACTCTAAGCATTCATAATTCATTGTAACATTGTTACTTTGAAACTAAGCCGTGGTAACTAAAAAAAGAATGGAATTTGTTAAAGCCTCTCTGCAATGATCTCCACCGAGAGGAGTAAATATCTCTAAGTTAATGTATTCTCTAAATTTCTGAAGCATCGAAGTGACCTTTTTTGTTTTAATCTGTTTGGTGTCTGATTAATTTATACCTTTTAATTTCTGTTGTAACTAACATTAAAGAAGTGCAAAGCTACCACTTTGTTAACCCGGGTCACTCATTAAAGTTTTATTTTTATTTATTTACATCATTAGATTCCTTGCCATGCTTATCGGTCTGCGTTTATATGGTGCAGTTTATTGTGCTGTTAAACTCTATTATTGAGAATATTAAAAAGCATATGATTTCAAATGTTATCAGTTTTTGTCCCGAATTTCGGTGAATGTTTTAATGATTACTTTTTTTTTCTCATCTTATGATATTCGAAACGTTTTAATGTCTTTCAGATGTGGTGGATATTTTTGTTATTGACTTTTGATGCCTCTTCTGCGGATGAAAGAGAAGTGAGTAACAAATCATCTTTAACTTTTTGGAAATATTTTTCTAAAACTCCTTTGTTACCTCAGTTTAAAATTTCTCACCGAAATTTACTTTTAATATAAAAAACTCAAGCTAAGACGATTCTCATAATTGAAGGGCTGACTGAAAGAGCAAATTCCATAAAGGTTCTCAACAAAAACTAATTCGTGTGTATGACACAAATACGTGTTTAATTTTTTTGGAGCTAAATTATAGCTGTGAATGTTATACAGTGAGGGTAGCAGACGACTAATTTTAATTATTCCGAAACTAATCTCCTCAAAACTTCCTTGACGTTGTTGTCGCAGGCCATTAAATCAAGGGGTGAGATTGTTCCTGTTTTCCAGTGGCACCATCTATGGAAAAGAATTCAAACTTCTGCCACACCCATACGTCACACCCATAGGGCAGACCCATTCATGCATCCATCCATTCATCCACCGATCGTAATTTTGACCTGAACCAGACAACGATCAATCGCCAACTTAGAATCCCAGAGGTGTAATTTGGTATGGAAACATGGAGTACTTCGTAACCCAACAAATTTAAAGTGCGCAAGTAACCATTTACTACACGGGGTCACCAGTTACACTCTTCGGCCGACTGGATCTAAACTCCCTTTCGCATGAACGAGAGTCCAGCGTCTTGACAATTTCCTTGCATAAGTTTGGAATGCAAGAAGAAAGTGCATATGCCCTTCATCCCCTTGCACGAGTTTTTTATTTCTTAATTCTGATAGTTTATTGGGATATATTTGAGATGTATTTTTTTCCTTCATAAATAAAAAAATTCGATAGCTACAGTTGGAAGCCTATAATGACTGCAACTTTTTTAGTATTGTTTTAAATATCGATAAAATTTATGGAAACTATGCACGCGTTAAGAGGAAGAAAAGTTTAAAAAAAACATGGCCTTAACTTTTTCCTATCTGCTACTTTTCTTTCCTAGTGATAAAGCTGTTAATATTTTGATCTCAATGAAAAATGAACCAAAAACATTTATAGGATAAATTATTTTTTGAAAGTATGCTAGCAACTAATTTTATCAAAGCTGGTCTGATATAACCTAGAATATTTTTAAATTAAAACTTTTTCTACTGAAATATTTTTTGTAAAATTAAGACAATGACCCTTCTAATCTGAGAAACATAAAAGGGTTCTTAAAATAACGATACATAAGTAATTTTGAATTTTTAATATTTGTAATTTTCACTAAATTAAGTTTATTTCTAAGCTTAGATCTCACTTCTTGCTACGAACTTCGTATGCTTTGGTCTTTTACAGTGCCAGAGCTTCCTTTATTTTTAGCCTTGCCTGTATCTTATATCCTTTTGTATTGCACGATTTTATCTGTTGACCTTACAAAAAATAAATCTTTTAGAAATTAGAGCAGAATCTGATAACACTCAAAATTTTTCTCAGTAATTTTTTTAAAACGGCGTTGATAGATAAATAGCCTACAGTGTCTTTCATTAACCTCTAAGCAACATGGTGACTGCATGCAACTAACCAAGTAATTTCTAATAAATAATGGAAATTGTAAATTAATCAAAATGTAGGATCCCGGTCATATCAAACTACATTATATGCAAGCAATTTGAAAAATTAATGTTTACGACACAATATGTAACATTAACACCAGAAAATATCACAGATAATTTTTTTATAGATTCGTTTTTTTTAACATATTGATAAAAAATTTTGAAATGAAATTAGTCGTCTAATTGGTATTTATTTTAAAGGAGTTTACTTAATTTTTCAGGACTTTCTAAATGACTATAAAAGTAATCTGTTCGAGGCAGGAACCAGTGTTGTTCGAACATCAAAACCTCCTGCATTCAATATGCCTATAGATTTCATGCGGTCTTTTGTACCAAATACAGGCGTTGGAAACAGAGAAGGTAAATGGCATTGCCTGCAATCAAAAGCAGGAAGTTCTAAATATTTTTACGTGGTACTATATTTATTTAAAAACTTCGAAAGTGAGCCCATTAATGCGAAAAATTAATATTTTGTATATTAAGAGGTTTGTTAACTACGATTTTTGAATAATATCTTACAGGGTGGTAGATATTTAAAGTTTTCAGAGATTTTGATTATTTTGTCGGAATTTCAAAATACCTCACCACAAGAGAACTACTGAAACAAAGTGGCGTTTTATATGATCTTTTAATTCATTAGTAGTGGTGTGGATAATTTTAAATCAAATGTACAAACATTTTTAAATCAAAACATTAAATTAGCTGTTACTAAACAAAATTTAACCAAAATGCGTAGTAAGTTCGAAGCTCTGTTTTTAATATTAAATTTCGTTAAATCAGCTGTAAAACTGCTAAAAATTCTTACCTGAAAACTTCGTTAAAAGTATTAAATTTCGGTAAACTATGGTAAATGCAAAAAAATAAAACTAAAGCACTATTAAAAAAACTTTCTTGACTATAGTATTTAAATATAGAATTACTTAATTCATACGAATGAAAGTGTTTCTTCTTGATATAACAAACTACTAATGAGTATTAGAAATTTGAAAAATATTATCGTCCGAAAAATACGTTTAGAATAACATAATCGTCTGATTATTCATTTTCGGAACTACAAATTTCCTTTTTTCAGGTTGTGATTTTTAGTAGATTCGAATGCAATGTATTTATTTTTAAGCCTAGTTTTTAACTACATGTCTTATGTATCTAAATATATAATTTGATCATGCTCTTAAAAAGATTTAATGCTTTCAAAAAAGGTTTAATTAGGTGCCTATAATTTCATTCAAACATTTTTGAAAACTTCTCGTGCTTAATATTTCTGACACATTTAAAATCGCTCAAGATTCTGCGCAATATAAAATTTCTTTCCTCAAATTTTGTATCAAGTATTTATATTGCATGTTCTATTTTCTACACTACTACATTAAAAATGTCAACAAAAAAAATATCTTGTGGGTAAGGTTCGAGTTTTCAACGTAGTAGTCTGAAATATAACTTCATTTTGTTCATATTACTATATTTAATGATTTCTGTTCATCTTAACTTCAGAGCTCATCATTGAAAAGATAAGAGAAGTGCCAGTCTTCTATGATGCTAATTTCACGCAATGGCATTACAAGAGATTCAACAATACTGATTACTTGTTGGGTTCATCAAGTCGCCTCGTGGTTTTGAACAAAATGGAGTCTCATGACGAAAATTATTTTGTCTTCTCGAAAGATGACGCTTTATTTAGTTTCATCCCAGATGACAAAAGTAAGTATTAATCTCTCTTGCCACTTCAATAATTTTTTTAAAATGCATTTCATTTTTATATCAATGATTTAGTTATTTTCTAGGATTACCGTAATCAGCTTTTCCTTTACATATTCAAGTATTGCTGGACGGTGTTCTCTAGAATTTATTTCACTGTGTTTAGTTCATATTGGTTTCTAATTGCAATTCTGAACTTTTTTCTAACTGGAACTTATGCTTATGATAATGGGCACTTATAATCATGCATAATATACGTTTGCTTTTAAATTCCTATTGTTGTTGTCGTGTCTATGCTAGTGCAAAGATTAGAGTCCACCAAAAGTCTTGATAACAAGGTGATTGCACTATATATTGCACTATTCATAGAAGAGGAGTGCCATTGCCTCCGGAAAGGTTGGACTTCTGCCTGTTGCTCCGCGGGAGCTATTTTATTTTACTCCTACCACCCTATGGTAAACCAAAGGAGGCATTCCCTGATCCGCCACCTGGGGACGCGCTCTCTAGGGGTTACAGGCTCCCCCGAGAGTCTATAATTTATTGTATTCTTTAATACAATAAATTCCTATTGATCTAGTATTTTGATGTGAAGTTTTGATAAGGATATTTCACGATATTACAAGATATTTAAGGATATTACAAGAAGTTTTGATAAGGATATTTCACGGAAATTAAGATAACAATAATATGGATTCCATTACATTATTACTGTCCTTATATTTGACTAATTAAAAACTTGATAGCCTCATACTAATCACCTACATTTTTAAATTAATACCTTAAAACTAACAATCTAAGTCTAAAAATTTTTTTTGGAACTTACGTGGTATTTTCTTCTTACTAGTTTCCCTGGTATTTAGGATATATATTTTTAAATTTTTTTTTATCAAATTCGTCGAAACAAAAACGAATGTAGTAAATTATTATAAAATTACGTATCGTGAAAAATAATTAAACCTATTTTTAGTAAGTTATGGGATATTTTTGATTATAATAGTAAATTTAATGTTTTTTTAATTCTAATTCGTATACACATAAGAATTTTATTTTCCTTTTCTTCAATTGAAAATTTTTTTTATCAAATTTAAAGTGATTTTAATTTATACTTAAATGTAATAAATGATAAAACCTTCATTAATTACGGATTTTATTTTAGGTGTTGTGATTGAAACACTAATATTTACACGGTTTCTAAAACGATCATCTGCGTTGTATGTAGCAATTCTCATTGAGAGAGCTGGTGCAAATTTGATCTATGTTTATGAAATAATTAGCAATAGAGGCCTAATGGTAAGTTTTTACGTGCCATAGTTTCGTTTCTTTTTATAATTTTACATTTTATTGAACATTACTTTATTAATATTTGACTTTTTCCTTAATAAAATTAAATCTTTATAAGATTAAATTTTTATAAGATTTCTTTAACGTGTGTAACTCATACTTGTGATGAGAATGGGATAACTGCAAGTGACGTAGTGCGGGTATCTCTATATTAATTGGTTGTTGAAACGTGGCATTTGCTTACGATAGCAACTGTTCTTTTCAATTTTATTTCGAGTAAGCAAAGCCCGTCAAGTATAAATTCTCTTAAGTGATTCATTTTAAATTCTTACAAAGAGATTCTTTCTCAATACATTTCAATTTTTTCACTATATATTTACACAGAAACTTAACACACAGGCACGAAACCATGTGGAACATAAGCAAACTAATTATGCATCAAAGTTGCAAAAACAAATATATCACTGTTGTAATAAAATACATAAACAAATAATAAATGTAAGTAAAAAAGGTAGACTAAAAAGAATTATATTTAAATTAATTTGATCTGCAATATGGCTCTGTATTAACTTATTGTTAATTAACATATTAACTTATATGGAGAAACTCTTAACTCAACTTTATTGCGCCATTTTGCAGATAAAGATTAGCTGGCGCTGACGTCATAGGTCACATGGTGGGTATGGGAGGTCCTCTCGAAGTGCAAGTACCCAATTGACATTGGAATTTTATTTAATGAACAGTTAAAAGTTGCTTACAAATGCTGCCCTGGTCTGGTTTTTAGTTTTGTTCGAGTAAAAATTTTTTTCACTGTATATTTGCAGAGACTTAACACATCTAATTATCAAACTAATTATGGTGCAAAACGATTATAAATCCCTAAATCTAAAAAACCTCTCATAATAATCTGATTCAGATACTTCAGTTAAGTTTCACAAAGAAGACTTCGAATTGATGGAAGTTTTTACGCTTAACATATTTAATTTTTGTACTTAATGTTGAGCCTAGTAACTACATAAAAATTAAAAATTATATATTTTTAATGATAGACAAGAACTTTAAATAACTGTCTTTATACTGAAACATTGTTTTCAATTAAACTAATATTTTAGCCAGTAAATCACAAAATTTTATATTTATAATTGCCAAATCTGTTTTATTGTAAAAATATTGTTTTTATTTAATCACTTAAAGTTTTTACAGAAATTTTTCTAGGCATTTTTTTTCGTATGAACCAGATTATAACTAATTATCTAATTTATCTAATAACTTATCCAATGATTTATCTAATGATTTATAAATAAATATTTTTGTCATACGATCGCCAAATAACAACCTTGTTCAGGATTGCTCACATCCTTCTCCCAAAAATAGCGAAATAGTATCGTCGGATACCACGTGATAAAGGCAGGGCCAAATGCCAACTCCTGGTGAACAAACTATAGAAAGAGTTTGACTTTATAGTAACAGTTATGCGAGTTTCATATTTTGAGACTTTGGCTGCGATTGACAAAGATGTTTCTAATTTTTCTTAATGGCATTTTATATTATATGGGTGATACTGAAGCCTTACAGTGAGCCCTATTTTAAGTTGATATCATTATTACGTTGCAATAAATGCATTTCCGTTTTTCAGTTTCTACATTCTTTAACGGTCTTGAGCACCAAAAATTTCTTAACGACATGTCTTAAAATTATAGAAACTTTTTATTTTTCGTGAAAATAGTGGCGAGCAAATATTTTAGTTTGGCTTATATCTTTTAGAATTGAAATTTCATCACTTGCATTAAGTTGTTATACGGTTTTACCTGAAGTAAAAATTGATTTTAAATGCGTAAAATAATGCAAACCATAAACTTCAAACACCAAATTTTTAAACTGAATGGTGATTATAGGAATAATGTAATAGTTGTGTTGCCTATTCGTCAGAGATAAAAGAATTAAAAATTTGTTTGAACAAATGTAAGGTTTTCAAGTATATCCAATAACAGATGTTGAGAAAATATTTTATGCTTATTATTTAAAATCAAACCATTGAGACTTATTAACTAGTAGCTATTCTAATGTGGTATCTGACAATTTTTGAATACTAATTTCAGGTTGGTTTGATCACTTTGGATTTGAGCTCAGCCGGTCCATATGCCACAAAGATATCCTATGTTCAGTCTCAGTATGAAGGATCTCTCGTTGTTCTTATCAACACGCACGATGTAGCAGAAATCACTTACAAACAACAAGGTATTTGAAATTTGTACAATATAAAAGCTTATATTTTTTTTTCTTTAATGGATAAAAACTTAGATAGCACTAAATTTTTTGAAAAATAATCCAAATCTCCATTATTGCGTTTACAACATTTGACGTGGTGAAAAACCTATCCGAAAAATTGGCGAAATTTAAAAATTAAAATCACTTTTGCATTTACAAAAATGCCGATAACCATAGTTTACATTTTATAACTGAGTTTTTTTTTTCAATAGATCATTTCTCTTACTATAAAATTTGTCTCTTGTTTACTTGTAAATCAATCGATGTAGTGTTATAAACGGATTACGTCCAGGTGCATGTTCTGAAGCAAAAGCTCCGTGCAAACACTCTACCTATAAATTAGACCAAAAGTGTTGCGAACACTCCAGGTCTTGCATTATCCTGGAAAAAAATAGCCGGTGCTAAAAATGTTTAGGCTTTTTTTTCCCTTTTGTTGGGGTAAACTAAATTTATAACGCTATTTTATTACGTTGCTTCAAGTGGTAACAATCTGCGCTTGACAGATTTTTTTTTCTCTTAAGACTTAACGTTAGAAAAGCTACTTTTGGCAAAACGCTTAATGTTTGTTGCTCCTTTACAAAATAACAAATTTGAGGAAATTTTTCTAAATTTTAATATAAAATATTTTTCACAAAAATGCAAATACTTGCCTTTACAATTGAAATAAAATTTAAGTAAATTTTGCGAGTAAATTTTTTATCAAGAAAATTAATTGAAACGGTTATAATTTTTATAACCATTTTTAAATTTTACAACCTACATTGTACTGCCGACCCAATTCTGAGTTTACGACTACCAATGTAAAACACCGTAGTCCTGCAATTTTGTATCCAACCCAGAAGACAAGGGTACTCCTGGATCGAGCCTTGGGAGCAACTAGCCATTCTGGAGTACTTTTTGATGGAACTAACCCGCCTTTGCGTTGCATGGACAGGAAAAACACGAAAACCGCCGACTGTTATCCCAACAGCAAAGGGATTCTAGCCAATGATCCTCCTACCACTGTCAGCACTGTGGTCGGTGTGATCAGTTTTCAGAATTCATAACGACCAGCTATCGCTGGCATTCGAACCTTGATCACCTCATTTGGAGGCGAGTGCTCTATCCCCTGAGCCATCGCTGCTCTTACTATTTTTAAATTACAAAATCTTATGCTTCGCTAAATTTTATAATTTTGTAAAAACTTAACAATATAAAGTGACCATATAGTATTTTAAATTTACTGCACATATGAATGTATAGAACCTTATAGTGGAAAAGTGGTTTTATATTTCGATGACACTCTTATAAATGTGGTTTTACGAAATCTTCAGTATTTTTAAATATTGAACCACTGAAGCTTCGTCCCTACAATATTCCCATTCAATAAAACTCTCATCTAAAGTTTTAAAATTATTTCTGATAAGAAAATAATTAACAATTTATTAATCAAAAATTAATATTTCGTAAGATTTTCAACATTTCTTCGTCCATTTAAATTCTGGCTATGCTGCCTTCGTTAGTTAACCTTCTTTAAACTGGAACCAATACTTGATATGTTGCTTTTAAAAATTAACCTGAGATCAAGATAACACATGGTTCTCAAACAAATGTGACAAACTAATAAAAATTAACTTTGTTTCTAACCTGACTTTATTAACTTTCGAGTGTCTTATTCCAATTGAACTAATATTTCTATTAAAATGGATTCCGCTTAATATAAAGGTTGGGCACATTTTTTTTCTTATACAATGTAGCTAAAACTTTTAAAATTTTACTTTTCAGGTAGTACAGAAGTTTTACATTACATAGAAGTCCGTTATCCTTCAGCAGTTGACTTGATTACGTATACAATTCATGGACATGGTTATATAGCAGTATCTAACTCGTCGGCCTGTGAAGTGTTTAAAATGGACCAATTCGCACGAAATCATATTTTGTTTGACAGGTTAGTTTTTAGAACTGTTTTAAACGTAGGTCTTCAATCTACAGGCCATGAGCCAAAAACGTCCTCCTTCCTCCCCTCAGCATCACTTACCTGGCTTGCGGTAGCAGATCTGATAGTGCAGATATGACTAGCTAATTCTGATTGAGTTAACAATCTTAGTAAATCTCAATAGGAAAGAAACAATAATTAATAAGAATAGTATTAAGCATTTTGATTGTAATTAATGATATGAAATTTTTCACTAACTTATTTAGTACGTCTCAGTACACGCTGGATAGTACCGTTTAAATCTAATAATTAATCTAACTGTATGTTGTAAGATGAATTATTGAATAAATGAGACAAAATACTCAATGTTTTAAATAGAAAAGTAAAAAGTCCAAAATGCTTAAAATAATCTCAAAACCGAGATAAAGAAATTCATTAAACGCTGTAGTCAAAAGCTATAGCTATAGCTATAGTCTCCCCTCTAAACTCATTTGCTTTTTTGATCTTAACCCTTCAATCTTTGACACGGAATTGGTATGGCTTTTATATTAATTTTAGAGACCTTTTGGTTTATTTAGAATCTTTCAAAGAAATTTCACAAAATTTTCAAGTTTCCGTGTATTTTAAACTCATTGGTAACGGAAACTTTTTTTTTTCCACAGGATTCATTCTCCATATGGAGATTTACTGGATTTAGAATATTTCCGACTGGGTTTCCATCATTATTTGACCGTAGCTGGGAAGAATCATCAATATCTTTACTCTTGGAAAAGTGGGGAATATGCATGGAAGCAAACATTTGACGCAAACAACGTGCGACAGATATTCTCCACTACTCTGCCTTCATGCCGTGATGACGTTATTCTGTTCTTTATTGGTGATGAATCTATTGGGATTTATGTTTACAATGGACAAAATGAAACTTTCGTCAAATCTGAAGTCGGTAAGATAATTCAACCTTAAATTTTTGGATTCCCTTTTATACATATGCTGCACTAAATATTTTAAAACTAGTTTATTCGTATGAATGTATCAAAGGAATGACTTCCCAACTAAAGTAAACATTTGAGTTTTGGTTTTAAAGATACAAACTATTATATTAAAAGTATGAATGGCATAAACTCGGTAATATTACTCGTTGTACTGGTTGCACTAATTATACGTTCTAAACTATTTACACTTTAGTTTTAAGAATGATTCAGGTTTTTGTTAAAACTTTAGTTTCGCTAATAATATAAACTTCAGATCTGAAGTTTGAAATGCAAAAATGGACACTAATTCGAATGTTTTGATTTTTATCATAATTCAAAATGTTTGATTTGTAAAGACAGTAAGTTTTGTACTGCTAATTATTTTAACATCTGGTATTTTTTTTTTTTTGAAATCTAAATAGTATAACAGATTATTTGCAATATTTACAGAACTTTTAAGAGAACGTTTTCTGATGTATCGAACAGTACAAAATATGTCCATAATGTTTTCAAAATAATTCAAAAATGTAACGTACATTTAGTGTACATATAAAAAGTCTTAATTACTAATTGGAAATATTCTTTTATTTAATATTTACTTGAAAATATTTTTTCATATTAGTTGACAAATCTGAAGCTTAGACTTTTTTACTTTAAATTTTTACTTATGATGAAGTTAAATGAATGATTAGTTATTTGATTCAATGCACTTATCACAAAAACATGATTTTCAAACGACTTTTCTATTCCTTCAAAACAAATTCGAATTTTCCCGTAACTCTTCTGCATACAAAGCTAATTGTTTCACAGAATAAAGTAGCACATACTTTCTTTCAATTGAAAGAGTCACGTCATCTATTGCGCGTGCTATTTTACTTTTGTCTGTTATTTTAAATCTCTTACTAATTCGAAGATTGTTTTGATTGTTTGTACGCATTTTTTATTCAATATTAATCAAATGTGAAATCTATAATTTCATTTTGATTTACATGAATTTACATAAAGTGTTTCTAAAATTTTACTAAAGTTGCTAATTTTTCTAAAATGAAATGCTGAAGTTAAAGTTTTTATTTGAATAAAAGACTATTTCTAAGGCTTACTTCATTTGAATTTAATTTTCACTGTAATTTACCACTATGCTGAACAAATTGTCATTTCGAATATTTTTCTAACTCAAATTTTTATTTAAGGAATAGAATTAAACTTGTTTACACTAAAGCATAAATACGAAAATGAACATTTTCATGCATTTTTCTAAATTATAAGAGTTTGATAGTTTCCATTAATATTTTGAAAAGAAATTTCGAAATGACAAGCACCAATAAAGGTTTTCTATTAAAAGATTATCGATAGAATTCATGTGTCGATATTTTCTATTTATACTCTGATGGTACCTTTTATTGATAGTATATTGATTTCCCCTCGACTTTGAAATGATCTGCAATCTCACCAAATTTGCTGTGCATGTGGTAAAATGCTTCGTTTTTTATGCTTGCAAGTCTTAAAAGGCAAGAACGTTTTATACTACAAAACATAATGAAACAACTGATCTACTAAAGGAAAGCTCTCGTAATTAATTTTATAAGTTTGAAACTTATACATTTCTAAAATTAAAATTCTGAAATTGTATATTTAAAATGCTAACTATATATAAGTTTAATTGTCTTTTGTTAACTGAAAAAAAATCAACGCTAAAAATAAAATTCTAAAAAAAGGAACTAAACATTGGGTAAACTAAATGAAATTTGTTGGAAAATAGAGCTTAAAATCAAAATTTTAGGAAATTTTAAAATTCTACATGGAAAAAATAATTTTTAAACTATGTCCTAAAACTGGAAAGTTGGGAAAGCCAGGTGGTAAACTCTCCTCTTTGAACTATCGTCAATTAGAATCCCACTAACTAAGGAAAATATTGGTTTTGTAATAGAAATGCTTCCCTTTAACTTTTAAGTATTATATTGCGGGATTCTCACATTTTAGAAGTTCTAAGTGCCGCAATAACATCGTATACAAAAAAAATATGGCAAACTTGCGACTTCCACCTCTGTGCTACAGAAGTTCTGCTACCAGGAAAATTAGTATCTATACTTTTCACAGGTATCCTGGCTGTTATCAAATTTCGATGACGTAAAAAAATGCTTATAACAATATAAACTCAGTCTAATCAGTTCTATCTATTGCTTGCTGTTTAACAAGCGTAATCAACAAGATTTTTATCCTTGTGAGATATTGCCTTATAAGACTTACTGAAAACTTGAATAAATTTTTAAATGTGTTTCATTCTTTCTACTTAAGAAATTTAAAAATTCTATAATATAAAGGCTTAAATGTGTATGTTAATTAGGCTTGCTCTCACAATAATTTTTTCTCTTTAATGTAAGCAGGGTTTTGCAACTAAGTTTTTATGAATGTTTTAGGTTAAAAAATTCATGGAATTAAAAATGGAATAAAAAATATTTCGAATTTTACAATTTTTGCCTATTTATGCATCTTTGTGATTTAAGAATAGTGGAAAAGATGAAATAACTGAATAAAGTATTTGCATACAGATTTTTCATACATACTCTTTATGATCGTTTTTTTTTCTCTTAGTTCTGAAATCGAAAAAGTTAAGTAAAAATTAGAAAAATTTACTTTTAAAGACTAGTATTTTTCATTATCTATTTTACCTCTGTTTTTCTAATATTAATTGTCAGGTTTTAATGACAGAGTTTTCTTTGAAATATACGATTCTCTCGTTTTAGAAATCCCAGTAGGTTTTAAAATGAATCCAGGATCTGTAACTTCATTCACGCGTAAGAACAAAGCTGTATTATTTTTCCTAAGCAAGGACTGGAATATTCATGCCTTCTTGATGGACACCAAGCTAAACCTCATTCGAAATCCAATTTTAGTTGAAGGAAAAGAAATTTCAAGATATATGGAAGAAATACAGGCAAGCCATTCTTTTTATTCCTTTAAATTTTTAAACATTTTAATCTTCATTCCTTAAATTAAGTCTTAATTTTTAGGAGACGTTGAAGGAACAAACTAAACAAGTTGATTACATAATGCAAGTTTTGCAAAATGCCGTTCGTAAAACTGGCAGCCAAACTATAACAGCCTTTCAGTCATTCGAAGAACTGCATTCATCTGAAGGTACAGTGGTGGAAAGTATAAATAATACTGTGTTCGTGGAATGGGATGGCTCAGATTTAACACTGGATCAGTACCGAAAAGGTACAGATTGGCTAGAGAAAAATGTACTGGAGCTAGAAAAGCTTGTCGAAGAAATTGAAAAAGTTATCCCAGGTAATAAGTAATAATGATATAATGTATTTTTTATAACAACCTTTGACATTTCTTTTATAATGCTTTTGTTTCAGATGTCGTTCGAGTAGATGAATCGGTTGAAATAACAGGCACAAAACATTTTATTGGCGATATTACGGGATCTTCTATTTCATCCATCTCTGTTGATATCCAATCTATTGCAGGTGTGAATCTACCTCAGCTTCAAAAAGAAATATACAGGTATGTCTGAAATTTTTATCAGTAGTCAGTTAAACTAATATTTCGAAGCTATTCGATATAAGCACTTTAAGACATGTAGAAAAATTTCTTCTCACATTTTAGGCTGAGCGAACAGAAATTTTGTAAAATGGGATATTTTCATCTTAATATGCTTGAATTATATCTTTTTTGATACGAAAAAAAGCTTGGTTCATAAATATTTTATTTAAGAAATGATGCGCAAATGCACTATTAGCCGAATCAATGGACAAACCATTTAGTTAAATGCTAGTTTTTCTTATGAAATTTGCTTTATTTTATTTACAGGACTTGCAATTTTGATCCGACATAAAAACACGATTAATCTCAATTACCATTTATAGAAAGCCGCATTTAACAACCGTTACAAGTTAAGAAACCAGCACAGTTTAAAGATTTCTCAACAAAAAGTGCTTAATCCAATTGAATTAATATTTTATATGTATTCAGAACTCTTGAAAATCTTCGTGAACAATACGTCAGTGTTAATAAATATTTATTGAAATTTTGCTTTTACGCACCTTTGGCCAAAAATAAGTTCAACATTAAAATTTCGTTACATTTGGTGCTATTTCCTTGTAAGGCATCAGGCTTTGTTAAAATTTGCTAAAGTTATAAATTTTGCAGTAATATACAAAATTTTCTTTTAAAATATTTTATCCCTTATGCACATTCTTAATTATCAAATTAATTCTAAGTATATTTGTTAACTTAATAATCTGTACATTATAAAAGGTATAATATTTAGAACTGTTAAAGAAGCTAAAGAGACTTAAGAATTTCAACTTTTTTTTTAAAATGGCTTAGTTTAATCCAGTATGACGAAATGTCGCCATACACAAATGGGCATGACGTTTTTAGTCATGGAAATTAATAAAGGTGTGATTATATTACTTTTAACTACGAAGAAAAAGTCCCCATTGTGAAACTAATTGAAGAAAGGTTTATTCTTCAATTAACAGGTTAAAGTGCCTTCTGTTAAGTTTACAGGTAGACAGGACCTTCTCACTTAGTTATATCCTTATTCATATATATATTGAATTATGGTTCTTTTACACATATTTCATTACTTTGCATTGGTTAAGTAAAATCTTCGTTTTTTTCGTAAAAAAAAAATAATCCATTAAACTTTTGAAACGTATGGAGAAAATTAACTAGTTTTATAGTGCGAAAAACACTAGTTCCAAATTCCCAAAAATTAGCCCCAAAGGGAATAAAAGAATATATAAAATGTGTATCAAAACTTAATATTGTTACTTTTCCTAATCGGTGTTCTATTTTTATAAATTTCATAATTCGATGCATAGTTTCTTTAAATTCATCTTTAGGTTGGACAAACCACAAAAGATTGAGGGAACTCTTATATTTGAGAACCCGCTCACAGTCACAGGTAATTTAGATGTTGAAACAACTGTGAATGGAATTGATATTAGCAAAGATATCATGACTACAAATACCGAACAAACTTCATTTGGTAAGTCTTGTTATTAACTTTTAGAATGCTTTTTAAACGTAAAGTTTTAACTGCTTTTTTTAATTCTCTCAAGCCAATTTTAAGATTCATTTTTAATTAGAAATATTTTAGAACACTAGTTAAACTAATAAATTTTAGCTAATTGAAAGCAAGTCTAAAAGCATACAAATTGTGATGTTAGAAATCCTTTGAATATTAGCAAGATCTTATTGCTAAACTAGAACGATAATCTTACCAATCCCCGTCATTTTACACGATTCCACAGTATTTATAATTGTTTTTTTTATGTCCAAGTTTTTCAAACAAAACAAATCCTGAATAACATAATTATTATAAATACTGAATAATTAGTAATATAAATAATACATAATATATAATTTTATGTTAGAACGCTTTAAAAATGTTAATCGTAATGAAAAAGATTACCTGGATTTGAAAAACAAACAACTGTACTTAAAAAAAAAAAAAAAAAAAATCGTAAAAATATAGAAGTCTGCTTTTGAAATTTTTCATTAGTTTTTTTCACGAGATTGATGAAACTTGATAAAGTTTAATTACAATTTTGAGCAAACTTACTTGAAAATAGACAAATATTTTAGTACGTTACTTGGTTGCGCAAGACTGACATATCTTTCTAAGGAGACTTATAGAACTTGTGACATAAGTAGTTTATCATTAGTAAGGCAGAGATTCAAACTTGCTCCAGTCAATGGATAAATATTTTAGATTAGTACTCTTTAAATGTATGTTTCTTAGTTTAATAAATTCCATTTATAAGGTTTTTACTAATACTTTTAATATCAAATGCTTGTGTGATGCACCACTTAATGACAATTAGGGTGCGTTCAGCCTTGTAAAATGTAGGCAAAATTAACAGAAAATATGCAAGTTTTAATTTGTAGTTCTCGACAGTTTTTTAGATTATTTCGTCGAATCAGGAGTAATTATCTCTAGTAAAGCATTATATGACAGTTACATTGCTTACTCTGAACAATTTTTTGATCGATACCCACCATCCTAACATCTTAGCATTTCACCGTGTCATTAGTTGTTAGTAGAGCCATCAAACTTAATTTCTCGAATTTAAGTGAATTTTATTTATTTTTGGATTTCGTAAGCAAATTTTAACTTTTTAGGCATTGCTTTTTACTTTTTGATCAAATTCTAATTGATTAGTTAGGTACAGCATGCTTAATGACTTCAAGCATGTCGCTTTAAGTCGTTAAGGACTTTGTGCTTTTAAGCATTACATTTAGTATAACTTTTTTGCAAAGTAATGACTATTTTATTTTTTAACATTCATTTTTTACCTCTTAATACGCTTATATAATAGCTGTAGAATGTTATGTCATACATTATGAAATATAAGAATATATTGATGCTTGCATGCATAAAAATTTCACAATAAATTTCTAAATCATAACACTATAAAAATAAACTTTTAAAAAAAATCAAACATAGTAAGTTTTTACAGGAAATTGACAAGTTAAATTACAAAACTTACTGATGTTTTTAGTGGCATTGAAAGTTATTTTCGTATTATCCGAGTATCTCATATAATGTAATCATCCATTACAGACTGATATGGCCAAGTTAAATATTTTATTTGATGTTTGTAGATTATTTACGAAATTATATTTAACTGAAATCAAAAACAGTGAAGCATACTTTTATCAATTTTATTAAACATTTCAATAAATCTAAAATGCAAAATTTTTCACATTCAGTTTTTGAAATTAATACTCTCAAATTATGTATGTTAATTTATAGAAATCTTTTTGAATTTTTCAGCTCATATGACATTCGAGAACAAATTAGATGTTCAAGGTGATTTGAGCATATCTGGCACATTGAACGGTATTAAAGTTCGAGATGAGGTTGTAACATTATCTGGAACGCATCTCATACGGGGTCATAAGAATTTCCAAGGTGGCTTGATTACTGAGAACATCACCACTCAGGTCATTGACGGAGTGGTCATTAATGACCTGTATCAAAATGCTCTGACGAAGAGTACTCCTCAGGAGATACCCGGCACAAAAACATTTAGTGGTCTGCTGTCGAAGGACATTCTGCTTGATGGTTTGCTAAATGGATATGATATTGCGAAATTGGCGGACAATATTGTAAGGACAGACAGACCAGCGATAATTACAGGTTAGCAATAACATTTTATGATCCTTAGTTTATAACTAAGAATCTAACACAAATTAGAACACCTCTCAGCTCAGTCTTTCAGGAATTTGTAAATTTTGAAATTGAGTTTTAGTATTGATTTTTAATGCTGTACATAAACAATCCTTTTTTTAAAATAGAATACGTAATATAATACGTAATATAAACATATTCTAAGCATTAGAACAAATGACTATGCCTACTTTGGTTATTTTGATACCATTTTTATTGTCTTTTTGTCCATTTTAACTTTAGATAACCTCATATCAGTGTTTTTTGGAAGTAATTATAAGACTCGTAGGCTACGAATTAAAAACGTGGTAATTTGCATATTTCCTTTGCTATGCTTAAATTTCAAATTTATCCTATTTCAATAGGTATTTGTATGCTATTCACTCGCTAGCAATGAAGTTTTTCAGTGATATAGAACAAACTTCAGATAACCTCATGTTTACGTAAAAATCAGAGTACAACATGCTAATGCCTAGGATAGACAACATTGCTAAATTGTTCTATAAAAATGCAATTATGTGATGTCAATGCGATGCCAGTATCAAATTCATTGACAACGTTAAATTTCCTGTTTTTGCTTAGGTATATTTTACACAAAAAAATTATCCTGATTGTATAATTTTATCCTCTAGTAGCAAACAATTGAAATTTTTTCACTTATGAAACTATCATCCCCATATTCTAAACAGTATCTACATCAAATTGGGTCGAGTTTGGTTCAGCAGCTTTATCGTTATCAAGCTTTAAAAACCTACTTTATGTCCACCCCATATAATTATTTAAAGAACATTTAACTATGGAATGAAATTATAGTGTTAACGCGTACATACTTTTAACATATTTATGTATGTAAAGAATCAACTGGGCTTAAATATGGAAACTGTACGAGCTTTTGTGCATCGCATTCATATCCTCGAACTACTGTGGAATTTTCGTAGTGTAAGGATTCACAGCTTCAAGCAAATTGAGAGAAAGACTTAGGTTAGAAAGCTGAGTCATGAAAGAAAGAAAAAAATCTCTATTAAGGGAACGAAAGGATTTTTTTTCTTTTAAATGGTGTGGATGTTAACCTCAATTACAACACCAGAATGTAAGGGTCAGAACGATTGAGTAGCTACTTGGCGTAGAATTATTTTACTTCACTTCACTATTAGCAAAAATTCTACAAGTTAATAAAACTTTATAAACAATAAATTTACAACTAAGTACTTCGTAGAATTTTTAACAGATTAGAGATTAGAATAACCGTTGCGATTTTTTTTCATTTGTGAAGAAAAAATTGTCAATTTTTTTTCAATATCTATTGTTTTAAAAAAATCAGCCCTTTTGATTATTCAGCTGACCAGCAGAATCAAAATACTTCGCTCTGTTGGATTGTAACTATTAAGGTGACAAGGGACTTTCAAAGAAGCAAAAATTTGTCAATAAATCGATATTTTACATTTTATATTTTTGAAATTTAGGCATTTAACTGAACATTTTAAAAAAAGAATTTCTGGAATAAGAGCAAAATTGATGAAGTTATGGCCATTTCAGTTTTGACCACGCCCCTTTTTTTACCTTTTTTTGTCTGCAGGTAACTGTTAAAATTAGTTTAGTTTAAAATTAATTTAAAATTAGTTGAATATTTTGTTAATTTTTTAAAAAAAATTTAAAGTATGTAATTATTAAACTAGTTCATTAGACAATATTAATAGGTATTTATATTAAAAACAAGAAATATTTGTTCAGATGTAAAATTTGCAATGAAAAAGTACTAAAAGTCATTTTTCTCAAAATGTCTTTTTTGAGAAATTTACAATTTTCAAACTGTTCCAGCGTAATGAATTTTCATTCTATTGACCTGAGAATTTAATGCTATATATTTATGAATATTATTAACATTTTGTTGGAAAAGGTTTTTGAATTAAGGGAATAGTATTTTTTTTATACCTGATATTTTATAGAGGTATGATTTTTTCCTAAAATTGTAGGTTTTTTACTGTTTTTTTAATGTTATTTGTTTCTATAATAAAAAATAAAAAAAGTATATCCAACAATTTTTTCAATATTACCTAATATGTAATATTTTAAAAGAATTTTGTCATTTTGACAAAATTTCAGACGCGAGGAGTAATATAAAAAAAACATAAAAAATTGAAAAATTTAAATTTTTTAATTTCTTAAATTTTGAAATATTTTTTTGAAATTTTGCATAAAAGTTGTTTTTAGCAATATAAATGTATCCTGAAAATTTCAAGCAAATCCCTTTATAATTTAAAAAAAAAACATTTGAAAGCCCTTTGTCGCCTTAATCCATCAGAATTTTTTTTTCAGAAGCGAAAGTAATAAAATTTTAAATATTCTAAGGAATTAGAAATAATTGTCTAAGATACATCAAAGATCAGAAAAAGGGTAATGCTCTGAAGCCTTGATGGAGATTTTAAGAGAATTATATAATTTATATTTAAAAAAACGTGAATGGTGCACAAATGAAGGAGCAGAAAAGGACGTACTTCTATAGAACCGAGACTATAGCACGTCCATTTCCGTACTTTTATTTGTTTCATTAACGTTTTTTTTTTTAATTTAGTCTACGTAGCACAAAGAAAGTATACCATATCCTTTTTGGAAAATCTATAATTTGTTCTGAAAAATTCGCCTCAATCCGCTACTAACGTTTTGCACAGAACTCAAATGTTGAAGGGTATGCTGTATATTGTTGTACTCTTTCAGGTCACAAGGATTTCTTAGAAGATGTTACAATAAACGGTGCCCTTACAGTTGAAGGAACAGTGAACGAGTTGCGCATTCCTGGAGATATATTCCTAACGGACGTCAGCCAGGAAATCACGGGTCTTAAAGAATTCACCGGAGCTGTCTTTGCTAAGGACGTTGAAGTTGCTGGGAAAATCGATGGTTTGAGCATTCCAGAAGACATTGTTACGTTATCCAAAGATGAAGAAATACCCAGCACTTTATATTTCACTGATGGCATCGATGTTAAAAGCGATATTATAGTAGAGGGACTTGTTGACGGGGTTGATATATCTGAAGTTGCCAAAGAGGCTCTGAAACTGAATGAATCGAGCAAGTTTGAGAACGCCATTTTCTTAGGTCCAGTCATCGTGAAAGGGAATCTCGAGGTAAAGGGTCTGGTGAACACCGTTGATCTTGATGAACTTGTTAGCAATGTAGTTTTTAAAGATGAGGATGATATCGTTATCGAATCTGAGAAAAAAATTCATAAAGTGATAGCAGATCATGTTATCCTCCAAGGTATGATGAATGGTTATAACATGGATGTTGATTTTATGAAGGTACACGGAGATCAAGTTATAAACGGTAAAGTAAATTTCTTTTTAAATTCTGATAACTTGCTAGTTTGGAAATTATAAGCAAATGTAAAGCTTGTTTAGAAAATTTAGAGTAACATTTTAGTGGCCACCGGAGAATTGGCTTTCAAAAAATTTTCGAACATACTATAGTCAGTTGTTCATATAGATTTCTTAGTTTACTTTTTTAATGTATGATATTGCAATGATAGGCTAATCTTAGAATGTAATTTTTTAAATCTTTGTCAAAAATTAAATCAGTTCACCTATTAATTTTAAATTAATAAATATGCAAGAGAAAACTCCAAATTTTATCAAATCATTAATGACAAAGGTGTGAAAAGAAAACAGAACCAGTTTAATTGGTAGGGGAAACTGGGTCCTAGTTTATTCAAAAGATTGCTAATGTTTTTATCCAAACATTTAAATTGTTATTCTTTAAAATTACAAAGCTTGTTATTATCTCTCAAATAATTATTTGCAAGTCCTAATGTGTTTATTTTTTACTCCATTTTAATGGAATTTAAAGACATATTGAGGGTGGTTAAAAAATAAAATAAAAACTGGAAGACTTTTTACAAAACATCTGTTATTTTTGAGAGGCCTTTACATGTTCTTAAACATAGAATATTTTCTATCTACATTTGCACTTAAGCGCTTCATAACGCTGGAAATCCAATTATCCTAAATGCGCGGAGGAGTTATTACAAAAAAGATTAACACGCTTCGAACCGTAAGAAAAAGGAAAATTTATAATTTTTTTTCATTCACACTAGATCTGGCATTAAAACAGAACTTTCACTTTTTTCCTCTATCTGGGACATACAGGCAGATGAAAAAACAATAGTTTTTCCTTTAAAATACAAATTATGTTCACAAATTTAAACTAATAATAAAATTGTCATTTTTGTTTCGTTACGCTATCAAGTATTATGGTTACTTAATAACATGATGCTATTATAACCTTTTAGTTCACCAGGAAATTTAATTTCCCACTCAATTATTATTAACTCTGTTTATCTTAATCGTGTAGTTTTACAGAACTGTGAATTGAGACTACTAAATGTATTATATTAAAACCAATTATATTAACAAAAATCCCATGAAATTCTCAAATTTTTAAAAACTGACGTAAAATATTTTAGACTGAACGATTTAATTTGTTTCCCTTTTAGTTCCTCCAATTCACTGTTTAATCCATTTAGAAAAAACAGAAAAAATGTAAAACGTTAATTTTATCATATATTTTTTAATCTCTTATTTTTTTATAGGTACCAAGCACTTCAAAAAATCTGTTACCTTTGACAATTTAAATGTTGGTAAGTTTCAAATACCTTCTAAAATTTTAACGTTCTGAGTTTTGGTTCTTTTTTTTCCTCTAAAATTCATTTGATTAAAAGAGCTTTTTTAGTCTCAAACGATAATTGAAACTAGATATTTCATTTTAAAACGGGCCAAATCAATTTTGAGTTTACAACTGCCAATAATAAATTCCGTAACCTTGAAATTTTGAACCCAATCCAAACGACAAGGGAACTCTTTGATCAAGTATTTGGAGAATCTTTCCTACATGGAGGACTTTTTAATGGAACTAACTTGTTTATGCGTTGCATAAAAAGAAACCTCTCACGATTAGCCAGACTGCAAGGAGACCCTAACCCATGATCCATCTATCACTTGAGGATATTTTACACCAGCACTATGGTCGGTGAGAGCCGGGTTCAGAATTTGTATCGATCAGCCAACGCTGGAATTCAAAAACGGGTTGTGTAATTGGGAGGCGAGTGCTCTAGCTCCTGAGCCATCGGTGCTTAAGACTAGATATTTTATTTAATAACTGTCGTTGAACAGCCGACCCAATTTTTACGACTACTAATGTTCAGCTCCGTAGCCTTGTAATTTTGAACCCAATCTATAAGACAAAGGGAGCACATGGATCAAGTATTGGGAGAAATTTTCCTCCGTGGAGGACTTTTTGATGGAACTAACCCGCATTTGCTTTACATGGAAGGGAAAACCACAAACCTCCCAAGGTTAGCCTGACGGCAAGGGGACTCTAATTTATGATCAGTCTACCACTGAGGATATTTTACGTCAGCACTGTGGTTGGTGCAAGCCGAATGCGAAATTCGTATCAGCTAGTCGTCGTTGGGATTCGAACCCGGGTCACCTCATTGGAAGGCGAATGTTCTATCCCTTGAGCAATCACTGTTCTGAAACTAGATATTATCAAATTTATTATTTTTAAAGACTGAATAAAATGCAATTTCGGTAAAGAATTAGCTTTACGTAGTGACTTTCAACAGCGCTGAGCTATAGCTTTATCTATACAGTCATTAAAGGCTGATTTGATTGAATATTAAATTCCTTAACATTTTTGTATGTTTCAATACAATTATTTCAAAAATCCTTTAACAGTTTTACTTGTGCTGGTAAATATGTCTTCCGACCCGGAATGGCTGTGATATTTCCTTTGGTTTTTTCTTTCCAGTCAGGCTTAGTTTAAAATAAAATTTGTCCTGCTTACTAGAGAGATTTTGCATAGTTTTTCTTAAGTTAACTGTAACGTTAATTTGTGACACCTGGTGGCTGGGTGGTAGTGCTTCGCTCTCCCGTGTCACAGGTCCTGGGTTCGACTCTCGGGCCGGGCAAGGTTGACTCTGCCTTTCATCCCTTCAGTCGGTCGATAAATGAGTACCAAGCATGCTTGGGAACCGAACACTGGGGGTTCCACGTTCGGCTGACCGGAGCATCTGCACTCCAAAGTCGAAGGTCAAGAAAACTGAAAAGGGCACAGTATGCCTTGACCCTCTGGGCTATCGTGCCACTGAGTTTAGTTTTAATTTCTTCAAATTTTCCTAGGAAAAGTTTCGAGCATCACTGTGAAGCTTAAATAGCGTTAAACCTACGGGAAATCGTAACGCTACATAAAATCTCTTTAATAGCGTTTGAATTTTCCATGATCTAGCATCACTTTCGGCATTAAATTTGCATTCCATTCAAATATCCATAATAAATCTTGACCTAATTTATAACATCCTTACAATCAATAAATTAACTCCTGTCGCTAACACTGTAAGCACTGGTGCATTCGAATTTGGTGATGAAAAGCTCAAAATATGTGTGAATGAGTTCGTTACTTCACATTAAAACTAAACAGAGCTTTAATATCATCAAAAGGCGTATGAGGACATTCATACACCTTTATGAATGTCTCTTCATGCACCTTTTAAAACATGCATGAAAACTAGATTCATACAAATTTTAAAACACCTTTCACCGAAAAGTGTGTATGAAAGTTGCATAACGGTCTCTTTATGCACCGTTATTTATCCAAAGGTTCATAAGAGCCTTTTTGATGTGTATGAAGAAACTATAAACATCAAAAATATTTACACAAAGATCAGATATACTTACTCTATGAATTTTCGTCAATTTTGGCGTACGTTTAAAAAAACAGTAGCTGTTCTTTACTATATAGTACGAGGAACATTTGTCTTCCCAGAACATTCCCCAGGAACAAAAGTTAATGGCTTAAAAGACTTGTATGTTCTTAGTTGTGTAATAAAGGTAAGGTTTATGTACAAATCTTATAAGAAAATTAATTTTACTAAATGATTAATTTCTGTTTTAAGCTTAGTTTAAATTTCTCATGTCTCTGTGCGTTGTGTATGTTTAGCAAACTAATTTAATTTTAGGAATTTGTGTATATATTCATCCTGAATTAATGATTTTATTTTAATAAAATAATTTAATTCAATCTTGTGTGTGTCATATCTTACTATAAGTATAAATCTTGTGTTACTGGTGGCAATGATTGCAGCTATTGAACACAAAGTAATTTAGAAATAAAATATTCTTTGTTTTTTACTGCAGCAGAAACTATCCACGGTTTTTGGTGAAGTGAAACACAGCAAAGTAAGTTGAACTGCTATCGTTTTTCGGTTCACTTCATTTTGCGTCGGACACTTATTGCTTTGTTACCTCAAACATAATCTAGTATTTTAAAACGTTGAGTTTGGTGCGGCACTGATCCATACGTTTCTGCTATTAAGTTATGCTTTCAACTTAACTATACTCAGCCCTCTCTCACCACCGGTAAACATAGATCAAAAACTTGATCTAAAAACATGACTTTTTAGATCAAAAATGTCTGAAATAAAACGTATTATATCATAAGATTATATATATGAAGTTGAAAATTAGAATTAGAAGGACTGCGGTTGTCCTGAGACCGGGATAGCCTGGTTGATACGGTGTTGGGCCCATGTCTTAGAGGTAGTGAGTTCGATCCTCCAGGGCCGAAGACTCCCCGTGTAGTAAATGGTAACTGGTGCACGTTAAATCTGTCGGATTACAAAGTCTTCAAAGTTCCCACAACAAATATTTCTAGGGGTACAGAGTTGGAGATTGATCGCTCTCTGGTTCAGGTCATTATTACGATCTGTAGTTGAATGAATGTATGAATGGGTCCGTCTTTTAAAACTGGCTGTGAAGTATGTGGCTTAATTATTCCTGGTCATTATTATTGGCCCCTTTGAAAACAAGAAACACTCCTTTTGTCTTAAATCCGCTTGGTTTCACCAAGCAGACTTGCTTTAGAAGCAACAAGTATAACTTTATTGAAGTTTCATTTAAAATATGTATTTTTCTTCTAGAAAATGGAATGATTGGTGACTTAAACATCACTTACCTATATGAAAATAGACTATCCTTGTTAATTGAAGATGAAATTGAAAGAGACATAGAATTCAACAATGAAGTGGTCGTTCCAGGTGAACTTATTGTTCAAGGTACAGTAGGAGGTTTGAGAATTCCAGAAGGTGTGGTTCTCAGGAATTCGAAGAATCCAATATCGAATAAAATCTTCACAAATCTAGTGAAAGTGGACAACTTGATTGTTGATGGTGATGCACTAGTGACTGGTTCATTCAATGGTGTCAATCTCAATCAATTTGTGGCTGACAGAGTAAAGCTGTCTGGAGACCAAGAAATCGAAGGGGATGTCTTTTTAGCAGACAGTGAAATTGCTGCACTAGAAATAGCCAGCACAGTCAATGGTGTGGATATTGTAGAATTCGCCGACAATGTTATGTCTAAGACCAAACCTCAAACTGTAACAGCTAAAAAGGAATTTATAGGTAAGCTTCTATGTTAGTTTTGGATTTTAAAAAATTTCAAAATATTAACAACAAACGAACTTGTTATTAGAATTACTCATAAGACACGGAATACTTTCAGTAATTTGTGTAAATTAGTGTATACTAAAACTCCTAAGCAAAATGTTTAACAATTTGCATGAAAATCTAAATTATATCTAAAGCACCATAAGGCAACCAAAAGTGCACCAACTTAAATAGCTTTATGTTAGACAAACAACTAACAAAAAATTATGTAAATTTTTATACGATCTTTAATTATACTATACACAATAAAGTTATAATTTATTTGCTCTATTTCAAATATACATAAGAAATTATAATAAATATACTTAATGAATTATAAATACATATTTATTCAGTTAAAGAATTTTTGAACAAACTGAATTACACTTGTCTAATCGTTTAAAGTTTCTCTTTTTAATTTCTTTTACACATAGTACAACAACAGTTAATTTGTGAACTAGTTGCGTTATTTCCTATGTTGTGCGAGATTATATACATTTGAAACTAATAAGTAGTGCTTGTTTTTTCATTCAAAAAAGTGAAGTTTTCCCACAACTCATTGATACCCATCAATATGTATGCTATTATTTTCACTGTAATTCAGACTGATCAGATTCAAAGTGGGTTAAACCTAAAGTGAAATTCATGTAGAGCAACTTTGTTTTCTTTTTTTGGAAATGAAAATTTGCTCATAAATCCTGTAATCCAAATTATTTGAAGTGCTTTAAATCAGGCTCAAAACTAGTGAAAGTCTTTTAACTCACGTCAAAGTATAAATAGCACATAATGGCTTAACGCTGGACAATGTGAATATTAATTATTCTAAAAAATAAGTCCCTTAATAGCAAAAATGCTTATGGTATAATTTAAAAAAATGATGGTTTTTTTAAACTAATTGAAAATTTATCTAATTTGAAAATTGGTTATTCAAAAATCGTCCAATTTTAGTAAAAACCAGGAGCAGGTAAAACTGTAGACTTAGCAGTCGTGTGGACGACTTAATAGTCGCGAGAACCTTCTGAGAACCAGCTTTTAGATTTTTTCAGTTTATATCCCTTTACGAAGTGATTGTCCATGTAAGAATATAATTGATTTCTCTCTTTGGTAGAAGTTTTTTTAAATTAGAATGAAAGATTATGAAGTTTTATTAAAGTAACTCTTTGTACAGTCTTATGGCCAATAAATATCTTAGTCAAGTAGACTTTATGATCAATATTAAGAAATACACTGTAAAAATATCCAACAATGCAAAAAAAAATTTTATTTAGATTTATAATTTCTCTTTGCAACATTTTAAAAAATATCATTTAATTAGTTTAATTTCCTTAAAGTGATTTATGAGTTTATATTGCCCTAAGCTACATTTTCCTTAAAATCTGTATTTTAAGCTAATTAAAGCTTAGTTCTCAAAAGGTATTACTGTTTAAATTTTGCTTTATATATTCAAAACTTAAATTAAATGCTAAGCTGTATTTAATATATTAAATTTAGTTTTAAATTCTAAATATTCCTCAGGTCCAGTTACAGTTTATGGGAAGATTACGACGAAGGGTGGTGTGAATGGATTTGACCTTCCAAATTTAAAAAGCCGTGCATTCAAGCTACATGAAGATAACATTCTAACTGGCCAATTTAAATTCCAAGATATTTCAGTGAATGACATGAAATTGAGTGGTTTAATAAATGATGTCAATTTGACTAAAATCTCTGAGAACAGTCTGAAAAAGAAAGGACTTCAATATGTCAGTGGAGCTACTATATTCGGAGCAGGATTTCACGTGGAAGGAGACATCAACGCAGATTACGTAAACGATATATCGATTGTAAAAGATGTTCTTCTGAAAAGTATTCCACAGACGATCACAGGTAAATTAAAAAGCAAAATTTAAATTTGTTCATTATTCGTAAGTAATGGGTTTCGGTTTATCAATGTCTTTATTAGTAAACTCATACCTCGAGTATGTATATTGCGTATCCTACAACATTTGAATTTCGTGAGAAAAATATTAGTGGTAGAGATCTAAAATCGAAATATTTAAAACAAGTTTACATTTTTCCTTCAAATGTTAATATTTTCCTCAAACACAGAATATTTTGTTTTCTAAATATACTATTGCTGTAGCTTTATATAAGAACATTCTGTTAATGTCAATCATAACGAAATGAATGATAACATGGATTTGAAATATAATCGTCTGAACTTGCAAAACCTAACCTAAAGAATACTGATAGTGTGATTCATTAAGAACAAATAAGAGGTGATTTCACTGGTAGATGAGATCAAAGCAATTCATATAGGAAACTGTTCTATTAGCCCTTTATTAAGCTTTTGTTTTTTAAAAAAAAATACAATCCCTATAAATGTTAAGATATTCATAATTTCATTTGACAACATTTAATCTTCTATTTGTTTTCTTGCTTACCTTCTATAGTGAAAGCTTATAAAATGAAGAAATAAAGATCTCTCGAGAAAAATTGATTGTGTACAACTATTGATTAACGAAAAATCACAAAAAAGCACTTAAATTTGAATAACTTATGAACTAATGGGAATTTCGAAACAAAGTTCACGTGAAGTTCAAAAATGAAAATTACTTTTAGTACGTCTAATTTTAACTTCGTAGCATGCCAAACAGGTTTATTTTTTCCCTAAAAGTTGAACAGTCTAATTCTCTAACTAATTGTTGACTATTACTTTTCTTTCATCCGTCGTACTCTCTGGACTTTTTCTTTCGTTATTTCAAATTTAGGTTTTATATATTTTGCGTGGTTAATTTTCGATTTCACCTTTTTAATAAGTATGTTCTAACTTTTTATATGCAGTGGTGAACAAAATTCTTTTTAACTATATTTTATTAAAATATTATTAAACTACCCTTTTTACAACTAGAAAAATTATTTTCTGAACTACGTAAATTTTGCAGTTTCAGGGTATGATATTGTGTAAAATTGTTTTAATCATTTGCCTTTACAAAAGATCTTTCAAAAGTTTATTCCTTATTCTCGTTTGCCAAAAAGTCTCCCTCTTAATAGTAATCTAATGCTTCATACACTAGGTGATAAATGTAAGATAGCTTTAAGCATATTATAGAACTCATATTCTAAAGTCTTTTATTCTATTGTAGGACAATACACTTTAGGAAAACTAGAGGTATACGGGGATATGGATGTTACAGGACTTGTAAATGGGCTCGATTTGTCAGAAGTCGCTCCAAAACTGGCAAGAATCGACGAGGAGACTATTCTTATTTCAAATGTGACTTTTGTTGGTCCGATTAGAGTCACTCATGATGTTACCGTCTCTGGCCTGGTAAATGGAATTGATCTGAATAAGTTGTCCGATAATGTCCTCTTGAAAAGTGGTAAACAAGAGATAAAAGGAAATAAAATTCTCAAAGGTAACGTGACTATCATAGGTGATATTGATGTAGACTTCGTCAATGGCGTCAATTGGAAGCAATTTCTGTCTGATGTAGTTCGAACGAATGAACCTCAAGTAAGTAAAAGTTATGAAAAAAATCTTATTAAACTTATACGCGTTTCGATGTCTCAATGGTTCACCATCAGTAGGATAAAATATAGGAATGGTAAAATCAAAAATGATTAAAATCCGATTGAAGTTACATCATACCAAAGAGATAAATACGCAGTTAAGAGCCAAAAAGCTTAAAAATTATCTCTAAACATTCGACAAATATCGTGCAGCAATAATTTCATTAACAATAGTTTTTCTTTTAAATGTAACTCCGACAGTTTAAGTCAATAACGGCAACACATTTATGAATAATATGAGGACTAGGCGTAGACTTGGTATTTGTTGAGTCTGTTTTAAGTGCTCATTTGATTTGTCTACTGTTTAACAGTCCACATCGGCATGAAATTTTTTATATTCTCCAGTTAACGTATTCAATTGATTTTTTTCTGGTTCTGTTCTGGTTCAGGGAACTGATTTTGTTATTGGGAGTGGAATTTTTGTTTAAGAGAATTTTTAGCATCTGGAAGCACATCTAAATAATTTTTAAGATTGGCATATTCCTACTTAAGATTATGACCCCATTTGGACATATTTTTAAGAATCTTATAGATTATCTTGGGCGAGAAGTCACTATCTCGGGCAATGGTTTTAATGTGGTTAATTTCATTCATTAAAAGTTCGAGTGAAGCGATGATGGAAGTTTTAAGGACCAGAGTATTAAATATTGTTGCAATGTCTTAATTAGGTAGATGCCAGTCAATAAGACAGTGTGGTTGAATGGAAACATCAAAAGGTTTGTGATATACTGTTGGTTTAAAATACTGCTCTTTACGAGTTACTAAAAGTACAGCAGTGGTCTGATCGCAAAGAAGCGGTTCCCAGTAAAACACCGAAGCTAAGCATCACTGGTTGGGGACGGAAACCGGGTGGGTGATCAATTTGCTCAGCCTACGTAGGGTGCATGGTATAGGTCCTAGTTAAACTGTTCTACCGTAAAGTTTCACGTTCAGGTCATCGGGCTACCCTTCTGCAGAGGATCAAAATTGAGATAGCATGACTTCTGATCATCCTCAGATGTTTCCCAGACCATCGCCAGTAGCCAATTGTGCTGCTCTAGTGCGATGTAAATAAAGTACCTACCTTCCAACGAGTTACTATAACGTTCAAAAATAGGTTATTCAACGATTTTCTTCCAGTTGTGAATTGAATATACGGGTACATGAAATTTGGAATGTATAAATTTACTAATTTTTTGAATTTCAAATAAATTTCTGAAAAATATTTTAAACGTGTATTTTTAGATTTCTGTTCTGACAGCTTCCATACTTTTCGGACACCCACTACACACGTTTGATTTTTTTCTTTTTGTGATGTTTGAGCTAATTAAAACAAAGATTGAAATATTACATTCTAACATGTTAACATGTCATGAACACATTAAAACAATACTGAATCATTAAAGAAATTTTTAACTACAACTATACAGTAAGCAGTAATAACTTTATTTCGAAAGGTACAAATCTACAGTTTAACATAATCGTACTTTTTGAATTTTTTTTAGACTATAACAGTTCCAAAGACATTCCTTGCTGATGCTGAAGCAGATACAGTTTATGCTAAACTTGCAACAGTAGGTCTAATAAACGATAAAAGTTTGGAGAAGTTAATAGAAGATGCAGTCTTCATAGATATTCCTACTAATATAACAGGTAAGGCAAATTATAACTTTCTTATCGAAAGAGAAAACTTCTGCGTTTTCGGTTGCCTTTATTTCATATCTTCCTTAGAAGAAGCGAGCTATTTTTGACCACGAAGAAACAAGATCACAGCACTTTTCCCTGATCTGTCTGCCCTTAAAATTGAGTTACTTAACCAAAATAAATATTAAACTGAAAATAATTCAAAATATTAACAAAATTGTTTTAATATTTATATTTTCTAAAACATGAAACTTCATTTTTCAAAAATTCAATTATTATAGAGTCAAGTAACAATTTTTCAATTTAATAAACGCTTTTAGAGGATTTTACTAAGAAATGATAAAAATCAAAACACAAGCAATTAAAATGCATTTTTTTTTCTCGCGTGAATTTTTTTCTTCTCTGTAATTTGTTTTCTCACTATTACTTAGAATATAATGTAGTCTATTTCATAGGAATTAATTTTTTTAATTAAATGAATCACAAAGGAAGTTTTAACTTTTACATTCTTTTAAAGCGATGCATAAAGAAACAATTATTTATTCTAGTAAATATTTTTTCCAGGTCCTAAGGTATTTAAAATGCCGATTGAAATATCAGGAAACATGACTGCTGAGCTCATAAATGGCTTGAGATTAAAAACAGACGTCATTACCTTGCTATGCAATCCAGATGGTAAGTAATTTTATTGAATAAGCATACTCGCGTAAAGAAATTTTTAATACTCAAGAGAAGATATGTTGAGGTAAAACTTTTATTTTCAATTATTTGTTATATCAAAATTTGCAATATTAGTTTTCAATCAGTAATTTTAGTATCATTATTTTAAAACTTTTTAAGCCAGAAAAGTTATATATTTACAAACTCAAACAAGCATAAAAAAAAAAAACTTAAAGCTTAAAACTTGTAAAATAAAATCTCATCTTTATAATCTTTGTAAAAGTTGTTTGTCATGAATTTACTTAGGATCAAGATTACATTCAGAATTACAAGATTGACGAGAGAAATAACGGCTAGACAGTAATGTAATACTGGATGTTCCGTAATCACCACCCTTTATGTATAGTTTTAGAATCCTTATCAAAATAAGTTAAAGTAAGCGATATAAATATAATATTTATGACGCAAAAAAACATACTATTCGTTCATAGTATTCTAACGAATCATTCTTGAAGAGGGCAGGACTGAAAACGTAGCATCGTGTTTAATTTTCAGGGGAAATTGAATGGACTCTTAAGTTGAATGGATTATTAGAAAAGCCAAAGTTTCATCGGGAAATGGAACTGATTAAAATTTTTATCAATCCATCTTCCTCACTAGTGATTTGGCTAATTTAGATAACATTTTTCTTTTCGCTTAAATATTAAATTGTCACATGCAATATCTTAATTTTCTACAAGGATTCTAGAAATGTATGTTAAGGGTGATGATTATCTAACACCCTGAATAGCCCAGATCTGATGCTTGAGAAATTTAAGTTTTGTGAAAAACTAAAATTAGATCTAATTTTAATTTCTGTTATGGAAAATAAATCTCATTTACAGCACGGCTGTGCTTTAATTGACTAAATTTTGTATAATGTTGCATAAAATTGATTACATTCAGAACTTAAAATTATTCTAGGTCCCCGTGAGCAAATTATAACAGGACGTAAAACATTTACAAAGCTGACCGCTGATAATGACGTAATGGTAGGAGGAACAGTTAACTCTTACAATCTGCCAGATTTGTACAAAGATACTTTGCTGATCGAAGGAGACCAACGAGTTGAAGGACATAAAAAATTGACCGTAAGTAGAAGCGCTTTTACAAAGCTCTTATATAACTTTACTTTTGAACCACGAACAAAGTTTAACCTGGTTAATTTTACAAACCACTTAAAGAACCCCTGTAGCTCAGAATCTAGAGCGTTCTTCTCCCAATGAGATTAAGCAGGTTCGAATCCCAGCGATGACTGGTTGATACGAATTTCGCACAGACCACAATGCTGACGTAAAATATCCTCAGTGGTAGACTGATCATGGGCCAGAGTTCCCTTGCCGTCAGGTTAACCATGAGGTTTTTTACTTCATGCAACTCAAATGTGGGTTAGTTCCATCAAAGTCTTCCACGAAGGCATATTTCTTCCAATACTTGATCCAGGAGTTCCCTTGTCTTCTGGATTGAGTTCAAAATTACTAGGCTACGGAGTTGAATATTGGTAGTCGTAAACTCGGAATCTCTTCGGCTGTTCAACGCAGAATATGAGAAAATATAAAACACTTAGAAATTACCTCGCATAAAATTTTTTAAGACGTATCGTTGAGATAGATGTCTCTGAATGCATATTTTTAGAAACCTTATCAAAAATAGTCTAATTCAATGCTTCAGCACTTCGGGGATCACTAGTAAAAATGTCACTAAGGAAAAGACAAAGGCTATAAAGATTTGTCGAATCACTAGCGAGGAATAAGGAATGGGGAAAAATCAAAGCCAGCTTGATTGCCTGATGAAATTTTGCAGTGCTTCTAATCACCTTTTAGCTTTCCTCTGGCAATCAAACAGGTTTTGATGTTTTTAGACTCTCCTTCCTGTTGAGGTTCGTAAGATTTTGATATTTTTACAACTTGTATTTTTGGCCCCTCCTATGTTTTGACTCAGTTTTCGACAATGATACTAAAGCGTCAAACACGTTGTATACATTTTTATTTTTTACATCTTAAGCCTAGAACTTGGTACTTAATTTTGATTGCAAGAAGTACCAACCAGAGTCCTCAATTTTACTAATAAAAATTTGCCAGAATACGTTATTCTAAAAGTCTAAAAATTCGGTACTTCCTCCTTTATAGAAAGCCATAATGAGTTCTTAAATTGTAACTACGCACAATTGTAACTACGAATTACTGCAATGTCTTTACAGAAATTGAGTTTTTAATGTCTCAAAAAATATAATTTTTAATAACTTAGTCAAAAAGTAAACTAATAATAATACAATGATTGTCAGACATTATGAAAGGGATGAAGTAACTTCTTTAAAAAGTTTGCTTACAAAACGATTATAGTAAATTGTAGAATAATGATTAAGGCTTAAATCAATTTGTTCCGAATATATTGAATATTTATTAGGATTTGAACTCTGATCTCAAGTCATAGAATTGTTCTCTTTATGAACTTAATCAATAAAATAGTTTGTATAAAAAAATTAGGCATATTAGATGCTTCTATTCAAGTTTAAAAAATTTTTATTTCTAGAAAAATATTCACTACACTTAATATAAGTATTGATACTTTTAACTCATAATTAAGAATAAAAATTTAAATTTCTTATCCATTTTCTTTCTTCATAATTTGAGAAATGTTTGGAAAGCGTTTGTTTCACTAGTCTACTTAATTTCGTTCAATTTAAAAAATAGAACAAATGTTAAAGTTTCAAATTAATTTTTAAGATGTTTAGTTTTCAAATTGTAAAAATGTTATTTTTAAATCTATTTTTGGTTTATAGACAGAAGTGCAGTTTACGAAAAATGTCTATCCAGAAACTGTGAATAAAATGAAACTTAAGGACCACCTAGTTACACTAGATACTGACCAAGAAATCCAAGGACCCTTAATGTTTACTGGGGATGTTTTTGTTGAGAAAAATCTCATTGTTGACGGTAAGTGGATCGTTGATCTTAAACATTGGGCGTAACTTTTATTTGTTATTTTTATTTTCATTTATAAAGTTACTTATAAATTTATAACGCAATTATAAGTCAAAACTGCTATATTTTTAACTGTAAGCCAACTGTTAATTTATGTATGCTAGCATAGTCTGGTTGAAAAAAATGCTCCTACCTACCTACCTAATACAGTAAAACCCTTTTTTGTGCGGTGGATAGGGACCGCATAAAAGAAATCGCACAAAAAAAATTCGAAAATTTTATAAATTCTGACATGTAATAAACAAGTTTGTACCTTATACCACCGAAACCTTTTTTTATGCGGTTTATAGGGACCGCATAAAAAAGTCGGACTCAGAAAATACATCAATGATTTATGAAATAGATAAGAGAATGCTTTCAATAAAATTAAATAATTAAATTAGACCTAAAGAAATTTTAAAAATATTTAATTCTTCATTGTACATATACATGTAGAAGTTTTCAAATTATACATTAAATAGTTTGCTGCTACTCGTCGTAATCCAAAACGCTCATCTTCTTGGAATGAATTGGTTGAAAATCGCTTGAAGATAGGATTTCAATGATTTGTTTTTTGGTACCATAAAGTCAGTGATCAGATAAAATAAAATAAAAATCATAAAAACTACATATAAATAGAAACAAAAGTAATTAATTTTTTTACCTTTAATCTCACTATAAAATGAATCCTTAATCTAATGAATCGTGTATAAAACTCTGAATACGAAGCGTATAGTATTTGAGATACACGCAGACGAGAATTTAAACGGTTTAATTTTAAAATACTAAATATTTTAACACAGCAAACGATTTTTTACTGATTTACTTCAACTTGTTTAGCGCAGAATAAATTTTAAACAGAAGAGAAAATGGAGTTGACGATAATAAATGAACTAATGAAAGTAAATAAACAGAGCATCGCGAA